TCCAAATCATTTAATTCAATGCGACAAAATTTCATAATTTTAATACGGAACATAATATCATAAATTCATACGAAACATAAAACATGATTTAATACGGAATGTAATAAAATATGACTTGATACGGAACATAATAATTTATAGTCTCATAATAAATCATAGTTTTATACGGAACATGAATTATAGTTTCACAAATAAAATTCCATACGGAATAAATTATAATTTCATACGATCATAAAATGTAGTTTCTTAATCAACTTTCGAAGGTATCAAACCACATAACGTACCTTGATCAATCACGAGCGATTCACAACTACTTCTCTAAATCACGAACACCCTACACATAATTATAACCTTAATTAATATAAGGTTATCAAATAAACACAACAATTAAACTACCCTATATGTGCATGAATTAATTAATTATCATATATAAAATAATTTTCTGTTTTATAATTTTAAAGAATTTTCTGTTTTTATAAAATTAATTTGTATAAGAAATAATATTTAGAAAATGGTTAATAGAATAAATTTAAGAGGAAAAGGAGGGATTGAAGGAAGGTGGAGGAACCAATGCAAGGGAGGAGCAAGGGTGGCTGTGGCCGGCTGGAGTGGCGGCTGCTGGTGGCTGCTGGCAGCAGCAGGTGGTCGCCGGTGAGGGTGGTCGCCGGTGGCCGGAAAAATGGAAGGAGGGAGAGGAGGAAAACCGTGAGGAAGAGGGGAAAGAAGAAGAGAATTCTTGAGGTTTTTGGTGTGATTTTTGGGGTGTATGAAAGGGGTATTTATAGGTGTTTAGGGGATGGGTTTATGGAATTTTAAGGTTTATAATTTATGGAAGTTTTTTATCATGAAATTCCTTTTGGAAATTTTTAAGCTTGGAGTGCAAGGATGACGTAGAATAAAATATTTTTAGGTTTAAGAATGGAAGTAAAAGAAATTTAAAGATTTTATTTTTAATAAAATAATTTAAAATCTTTGTAGAAAAACCATGAATGGCCGAAAATATTGAGCAAAATATTATTCAATATTTTCGGACCTATCATGTTAGTTTAGGGATTTTATAAAATAATTTATTTGTCAAAAACTAAAGATTTAATAAGAATAAAATCAATTTTTCTTGCTAGATTATTAGGGTGGCCGAATTTGAACAATACTAAGGTATAAAAATCAGATTTTTAATTATATAAAGTTTAAAATATTATTTGATAAATTTGGAAATCATTTTATTTCATAAAAATAATTAATTTAGCAAATAATTAATAAAAATCAGATTTTTAATGTATAAAAATCCGAAAATACGCTTCATTAGTTTAGGAATTAATTTTATTTTATGAAAATACTTTTATTTAGAGAAAAATCAGATTTTTAATTAAAAAAAAATTCGAAAATGATATTTATTTAGTTTTAGGAAATTAATTTCATTTCATGAAAATAATTAGTTTAGCAAGGTATTAAGTAAAATTGGATTTTATTGGGAAAATCCGAAATTATATTTAAAAATCAGATTTTTAAATTCTAAAATGCCTCTAATTTTATTAATTAATATAGTTTTGTTTTATTATTTATTTAATCAAAATACTATTTATAAATTTTTTAGTTTATCCATTTTATTAAAATAAATGATTTAGGCGCCAAAATTCAAATATCATTTTGGCTCCAAAACTGAAATACTCTTAAGTTAGAAAATACGTCGAAAATACGAGACTAAATACTCTTTAATTTAGAAAATGCCTTTCAAAAATACGGGGTATTACACCCTCGGCTAAGCATGCTGAGGGGTTGATAGAAGCATATCCCTCGGCTAGGCATACCGAGGGGTTGATAGAAGCATAACCCTCGGCTAGGCATGCCGATGGGTTGATAGTAGCATAGCCCTCGGCTAGGCATGCCGAGGGGTTAAGGGGTGGATAGAAGCATAACCCTCGGCTAGGTATGATGAGGGGTTAATCAAAGTATATCTCTCGGCTAGGCATGTCGAGGGGTTGATTGGAGCATAGCCGAGGGCATGCCGAGGGGTTGATCGGAGCATAACCCTCAGCTAGGCATGTCGAGGGGTGATAGTAGCATAGCCCTCGGCTAGGCATGCCGAGGGGTTGATAGAAGCATAGCCCTCGGCTAGGTATGCCGAGGAGTTGATAGAAGCATACCCCTCGGCTAGGCATGCCGAGAGGTTGAGGAGTTGATAGAAGCATAGCCCTCGGCTAGGCATGATGAAGGGTTGATAGAAGCATATCCCTCTGCTAGGCATGCCGAGGGGTTGATCGGAGCATAGCCCTTGGCTAGGCATGCTGAGGGGTTTATAGTAGCATATCCCTCGGCTAAGCATGCCAAGGGGTTGATAGAAGCATAGCCCTCGGCTAGGCATGCCGAAGGGTTGATATATAGAAGCATATCCCTCGGCTGTCCCTTCTTTTCGAATTTTTCAAGTTGTACACCTTGCTTGTGACGCCTAGCTGAGAGATGGCGTGTTTTAGTGAGTTAGACCAAGTGCCGAGAGCTTGGGGTGAATGCTGGGGGACCAAGAGCCAAGAGCTTGTCCCTCCTTTGTGGTTTTGAATTTCTAACCTTCACTTGATTTATTTTCCTTGGGCTACGCCTTTTGCCTAACATGCCGAAATATGTTCTTCTTCGACGTGAAGTATTTGAATGAGTGCGGGTATCACGATATCGAGTTAAGCCATGCTAAGAGTCGGCTCAGGTTGGGCCTCCTCAGGGTTGATCTTCTCCATCCTTGGAATTTTCCCTCCTAAAGTTAAGTATCACCCGGGCATCCAACATCCCTTCTCTCATTCTCCGCTCATAGATTATCTCTATTGCATATCTGGTTTGGCTGGGCTAACTTGACTCCCGTCGCGCTATCGAGGATTGGGTTTAATGCCGAGCTGAGAGGACCAGAGCTTATGGCCTGGTACGATTTCCTCAACTACATGGTTATGTCGAGCTGAGAGGACTGGAGCTTTTCTAGTAGCATCTTGATACATTTGGAGACACCTAATATTCACCATAGCTTTTTGTTTGTTTTCCCCATAGACGGCGCCACCTGTTTTTGGAAACAGAATACTCCTCGAAGTATTAGGGTAGGGTATCAAGATGTCCTAAAAACTAAGTCAGATTGTTCAAATGTAATTCGGCTCCGCCTAACAAAGGTATGTCTAAGGGCTCCGCCTTGATGTCCGAGAGCTCAGCTTGCAAAATAGAGAAGGTTAGCTGCCCCTGGGGGTGTGGCTCGGGAAAGCCCCTCCGATGCTTAAGTCAGCGAATGTACTTTTGAGAGAAAGTAGAGAGAGTGTACTTAGAGAGAGAAAGTAGAGAGAGAAGGAGAGAGAATTGGAAAAGTCCTCATTATTATTAAATGATGAGCTATTTATAGATGTACTTTTCAAGCGGCAGACTTGTACTTGAGTGGACAGATTAGGGGTAAATCCGTACTTTGTGATGGTAATGATGGGCTGGATCATGGAGGAATATTTTCGTCATTCAAGGTGCATTGGGCTTAGGGCATGGACTAGGCCCAAACACAATACATGTTCATTCTCATATGTTAGATGTTCATTTGTGAATAATTAACTATTGAAGAGTATATTCATAATGTTCAGATTAATATAGGTAAAATGTTCATAATCATAAAAGCATATGTTTATTTTTGTATCATGCTAACAAAATGTTTAAATTATTGGTATATGAAAGATTTTTTGTTAGATGTTCAAAATCATGATATTAAATGTTCATTTTTATTACACTCATCAAAGGTGATTGTTTAATTAGATTTGTAAATGATTAAATACTAAACATTAATTAATTGAAATGTTAAAATTGAATGTTCAATTTTAATACTGCTAAATGTTTGTAATCATGAAAATAAATGTTATTTTTATTGTGCTCATAACTTTTCAATATTTGTTCATTATTTTCTATGTATGAGCATTATTATATGTTTAATTTTTTTTATAAAAAATAATGTTCATATCTTAATAAAGGATGGTCATTTTAAGTTCGAATTAATATCAACAAAATGTTTATAATTGGAAAAGTATATGTTCATTTTATATCACACTAATAAAAGTATTGTTTATACATTTGGTGTATGATCAAAAAGGTTTTTTTTGTTAGATGTTCAAAATCATGAAATTTGATGCTCATTTTTACTACGCTCATAAAAAGAATGTTTTATTTCATTTGTCGATAACATACGAACAAAAAGTAATCAATTGAGATGTTCACAACAATCATGAAAATAAATGTTCATTTTTATTATGCTCACACAAGTATTTAATATATGTGTTGTAATTAACTATGTAAGGGTATTAAATCTTAAATATTTTGTCAAAATAATAATGTCCATAGTCACAATAATGAATGTTCTTTTTTATTAATTGCAATGTTAATTTCAAAATTTAGATATTTTTTATTTTCGATTTGAAGTTCATTTTCCATTTTTCATTCTTATTTAATGAAAAGTAATGCTATATGTAGCCCTATATAAGCATTAAATATACTCTTGAAAATTGTATAAAATTAAGAATTCATGATAAAAACACGCGTAAATCAGTGTAATTAGTGTTTATATCTTTTATGATTTTTTAACTTTATACGATTTTCTAGTGTGTATTTAATGCTTATATGTAGCCATAAGGGCTATGTATATCATTTTCATCTAATGAAATATTCATTTCAATTATCTGATATTCATTATTTCTTTCCAAATATGTTCATTAACTAAATTTTGCACTATAAATCAATAAATACCCTTCTTAGAGCAAGCCAGACATTGCCCACAAAGGATGGGCATGATGAGATAGATTGCATAGTAATAGTCCGTGTATCAAACGGGTCAAAAGTCTATTTAAATTACAAAACTCCCACTTGAGACTTTGAGAGTACATGTTTCTTATTTCTCATTGAGAAACATGTATTTCACTATTTCCTCTCTAAGAAGCATGGACACGCTATTTTGATGAGGTGTCCGTGTCAAAACGCGTGTCGGACACGGACACGGACACGCATGAGACATGGGGAGATACGTCTTGGACACGCGAAAATTCGTATCCGAATATTTTATTTATTTTTTGACACTTGGACATGGACCGTGTCATGTGGTGACACGGCCCGTTTTGCTTTGGACATGCCACCTAAGTGCCACCTCAACCTTTTTTCTTTTTTCTATTTTTTTTAAATGAAACCCCTTTTTACAGTAAATCAGTGATACGTTAGGGGTTTCTTTCACAATTCGCAAATCGCAAGTTCACTTCACAGAGTTTGTTGCCGCTACCCCTCACTGCCAACCACCGCCGGCGCTACACCCAGTCAACCACCGCCGGCTGCTCGTCTGCTGTTGTGGCTTCGGTGTTGCGGGGCTGTGCTAGATCTCCTTCCCTTCACCATCTTCTTCTTAATCTTCTACTTTGGTGGACCAAATTCCAGGTTTTTATAAATTTACTTTAATTTATATTCTATAATTAGTCTCTTTTGTTTATATTTATGATTAATTGCTGCTGAAAATTGGTTTATTGGATGTACATAAATTTTGCCCTAATTTGATTTTTAATGATTGAGTGTATAAATTGATGCTTGATTTTGATTATTTGGGGTTGATTGCATGATTTGTGATGTAGTATGCAACGATGCTCGAGTGCTCGTAACACTTTGTTTACTAGTTTTCAACAAAATGGTATGTTTTGATGTCAATTATTTAGCGTTTCATTAAATAGGCTGTCAAATTCTTTTTTTTTTTTTTAATATATTATACTACCTCCGTATTTTATTAGTTGACACGTTTTGACTTGCACTTCACACACTTTATTTTGACTGTGTTTTGTAATTTATATGTAATGAAAAATATAGTGATGTGAGATCTTGTTGGAATCGTCACAATATAAATTTTCTAAATATCAACTTATATAATTTTTGTTAATTAAAAATTAAAGATATTAATGGTTGAATTTGTGCATTTGCTAACGTGACTACAAAAACGTATCAATTAGAGGAAGTATGTTTTATAATTTGCCGTACCCGTGTTCCCTATTTTAGAATTGCCGTTTTTCCGTATCCGTATCTGAATCCGTGCATCCTAGCTTCCTCTAAGTAAAGTGTTGTATCTTACTCCGTAAAGTTTATAACGCCTCTTCCTCTTCTCTTCCCTCAAACTCGAGCCGTCAAGCCACAAAGCCGCCTCCACCGCTCAACGCTGCAGCAGCCAGCATTGCAACACCGTCCAAGCTCTAGGTTTTTTTTTCCGTCGTAGCCACCTCGCGCCTCCTGACCGTAGCCACTGGCGGACCTGTCCAGCCACCTCACAGCCCCCTGTCCGGTGTGTTTCTTCCCATTTTTTTCCTTCAATTTGATATTTTTTTTCGAAGAAATTCAAATTCAAATTTTGTTTTTGGTATGTGTCTTAGAATTTATTCTCTCGCAAAAATGGAGGTGGTAATGGCGTCGTCTTCCATGGACGGCGGGGTAGGTCGCTGGGAAGAAGACTCTAACGCCGAGAAATTCCGTTACAAATCTTGCTTATCCCCTCCTCATGGCCTCGTTTCCGTCGGTGGTCGTTTCTTCGCGTCCTCTCAACTCCGCGACTCCTCCGCTTCTGGCTCCATTCTCTACTGGTCTTGGCACAAGGTACTCTTTTCTCTCTCCTCACTTCTATTGCACTTCTAAATTTAGTTCTTCAATTTTTGTTTTATTGGGTTTTGGGTTTTTCAAGTTATGTTTTATTTGGGTTCTTCAAGTTGTGTTTAATTTGGGTTCTTCAAATTATGTTTGATTTGGGGTTTTCAAGTTAGACTTTAATTTGGGTTTTTTAAGTTGGAGTTTAATTTGGGTTCTTCAGTTATGTTTGATTAATGTATGAATTGTTTCAACTCTGCAGCCTCAGCCTGAAGTCAAGAGTTTTCCGGTTGAGCCGATAAAACCGTTAGTATCGAATCGTGAGGGTACTTATCTCATTGGTGGCGGTGCTTCCGGTGATGTTTTTGTTTGGGAGGTACTTTCTCCGTTCCTAAGTGTTCTTCTCATTTCGTATTTTTACCATGTCCCGGGTTTAGTATCTCTTTGAAATTGTTAGTGAAAAATTATAAAGTAGTTGTTAAATACTTACTGAAACTAATCAAACAAGACTTCATATGAGTGTACGAGTATTTTTTTTTTTATTGGAAGAATTTAGAAGGTTTCAGGAACAGAGAGCTTAGTTTTTTCATCAATAAATAGTATTCAAGTTCCGAAGAAATTTTATATGTAAGTAGAGTTTTAGTGAAATTTGTAAGAATTTTTTAATGTCCCATTTTTTAGTAAGGTTATATAGCATGAACTGAATTTCACAAGATAGTTAAAATTTATGAATTTGTGATAAAATCATGTATTGATTGGTGCTATTATTGAAACTATGTTTGATGTCTTATTTTTATTTATGGAGCACATACTACATAGGGTTGCATATAATAATTTGCTTTTTAATACTGATTATTTGAATCTGGAGGTGGTTGCTTATCAAATTGACACCAATTTAATCAGATGGGGCAAATTCTCTTAGTTTGGTTGTATAATTTTTGTTGGTGGAGAATTAAATTTATTATAACAATAAACCGACTTATTGAGCGATCTCTCTCTCTTTATATTCTTGGTTGTTGATCCCTCTGTGTGTGGATTAGGTTTATACTGGTAGATTACTGAAGAAATGGCGAGCGCATTACGGGGCTGTTTCTTGTTTGACATTGTCAGATGATGAATCCCTGCTTATATCTGGAGCAGAAGATGGACGTGTTAAAGTTTGGTCGCTTTTCATGTACTGCCTGAATTTGATCGTAAATTATGCTATTAATTTACACTTGACTGTTCCATTTGGACAATTTTGTTCTTTAGGATGATAGTTGTGCCACAATTGATCTTATTCTTGTGGTTTTCAGGATGTTTGATGATGCTAGAAGAAAGGAAGCTAGGCATGATCATGTGCATAATTTTCGAGAGCATACTTTGCGTGTTACAGATGTCAAAACAGGTCATGGTGGATCTAATGCTGTAATTATTTCTGCTTCAGAGGATCAAACTTGTAAGGTGAGATATGTTATTCAAGTTATCAATAAATGATTAAAGATGAAAATGAAAAGGAATGAGTTACAAAATATGCTCTTGCATGGGCTAGTTGTTGCTTCCTATGATCTTGAAAATTCATTTGTTGATGTGTTGTCAAATCAGGATATGAAATAATTATTATTACTATGTATCTTTTTTTTGCATATTATGAATTTGTTATTTTTCTTATATTTATTTAAATCTTTTCAAGGTGTGGAGCTTGGCGACAGGAAGATTGTTGCGGAATATTACATTTCCATCTGTTATCAATGCAATTGCCATTGATGTGGGTGAATATGCTTTTTATGCTGGTGGTAGAGATGGCAAGATATACATAGCTGCACTTAATGCTTTGACTACGAATAGTACTGACTATGGAAAGCATATTATTGGCTCATTAGCTGATTCGAGGTTTGTTACTTGATTATTTTACATTGCAATGCTCTTTGGTTGATTTATTCTTCTATTTTGGAATTAGTGAGTCTGATGTCATCACTATATATATATATATATATATATATATATATATTATATAATATATATAATATATATATATATATATTATTTCCTCCGCCCACAATTATCTGCACCAAACGTCCTTTTTGCGGACTCCTTGGCAAAACTTTTAGTGGAGTTTAATTAAGTTTGAGTGGGTTTAATTAAGTGGGAAAAAAGAGGGAAAGAAGTGGTCCCTTATCTTTTTTTATGGTGGGTTAAAGTGAGTGGGAAAAAGGTGGAAAATTGAGGGCCCCTTTTATGAGTGGGAAAAAGGTGGAAAATTGAGTGTAATTAAAAGATGTTAAACAAAGTTAAAAAATAAGAGTAAGGGTAAGGTGGTCTTTTTACTCTTTAAAATTCACTAAAAGAGGAAAGAAAAGAATTTGTTGCACATAGTAGAGAGCACCCATTTATGGCAAATGTTGCAGATAAATGTGGGCAGAGGGAGTATATATATATATAATGAAAGCAGTGCTCTGCCATTGAAAGTCTGTCTAATTATTAGTTACATCAAATGTGGTTTACAAGCTTGGAATGTTCTATTCGTTGCTATTTATAGGTTTCTGACTTTGCTTAGTAATCTCTTGCTTCTAGTTGATTAGCTATTAGTATATTGGCTAGCTAGTTGACCTTGCTTAGTAATATCTTGATTCTGATCCCTTTCGTCTCGAAGTACTCCCTTCATTTGGTGGTGTTTATTCTGATTAAATTAGGACTCCAGAAGAATTTTAATGCCTGTAAATCTATTGTATAGCTGTATAGATTCACTATATTTCTCTGGGAAGTAATTATGAGTCGACTACACAATGCATTAAGTATTTATGTATATCATCTGAGGAGAGTTGAGAAAGTAATTCGAAACCATGTATATAATAACTAACCATTCCATTTATAACAAGACTTGTGACTAACTTGCTGCTAAATGAGGAAAAAGTATGAATTTAGTTATAGGGAGTTGGGTTCCCAAGATTCTTAACTATATAACGTACGAGTATGTATTAGACTCTTATGTGTTGATATGTGATGGGAACAATAAAGTTTAGAGCATGTCTTAGACTCTAATGTGCTGATTTGATTATTTAATCTGCCTTTCGTAAGAGTAGATGTTATTATATAATCTTGGGATAGACTTGCACTATTAAAAAATTGCAGAAAGCATTAATGTTAAACCGTTATTCTGTCTTTACAAGATCTGCTGATTTGTAGTTTTTGGATTTACCTGCATTTAGGTACATATATGAGGCATGTGGGCTAACCCTCTTCTCACCCCCTCCCCTTCCTGTATTTCTTCCCTGTTCTCAATATTCTCATTTTTTTTTCCTGCTTTTTCAACCTGTCCCTTCTCAGTGTGGACATGGTCCTTTCTGCAGATATATTAGGATATACAGTGCTGGGATACTGAGATTCTTTGAGGCTACCAATGACACATTCTAATTATTCCGACATACAACTACAAACAAGAACTCTCTAAATTAATGTAGCTGTAAAAATTCTCTAATTGATGGTGGTAATGGAGTCTGCAAATGCATGCCCGTTTTAGTTTTTACTCTTTTGTAAATGTGCAGGATCAATTTACATTAATAGAAAATAGAAAATAAAGTGGGCATAAGCATAACCCTGATATAACTTAAAAATATTCTTCCCGCCACTCATTCTTGGAAATGGTTTTAACACTATTGTTTATTTTCTCACCTAGGTTTCTTTTATCTTATGTTTAAAGAGGTGCCCAAGGACACTTAACTCAGCTGCCTATCTTTAGTCTAAGCCCACCTAGGTGAGTGCTCCCTTTTCCCCTATGAGGCTATGAGCATTTCATCTTGCAACCTCAAGATCAAAAAGTGGGTGCATTGCCCAATGCCCCTCCTCGTTGCTGCTCTCATTTTTGTCCACAAATGGGGTTGTGAACATGGCTTAGAGGAGTGTTGAAATCACTACTCTTTATTGTCTGTCCCCATACAGGGAATGTTCACTTGTTGAATTTACCTAATTCTTGATTCTAATTACTAGCTCCACTCTTTGAAGATCTATGTAATGAACCGACTTATCTGAGGGGTATTATAGGTAGCTTAGTATGTTGGTAGTCATCAAATGTAGTACATAAGGGAAATTATGCAAGGAATCAAGAGATGCCTCATGGGCTCAAAAGAAGACAGACCATCTAGAATCATCTTAGAAATTGTAAATAAATAGGGAGAGGGAGGAAGGGAGGATAGGCAGAAAATTGTATTAGGGAAACCTAGAGAGAGTTATGGCCTCAAGCCATTGTTAGAGAGTTATATCCTCAAGCTATTTAGAGAGTGATAGCCTCAAGCTATTAACCCTATCATTTTGTAATCCTTCCACCATTATCAATCAATATTAAAGCTTCCATCTTTAGTAGTTCCTTATATTCAATCAATCTACAGAAAATCAGATTATATAGTTAACTCAAACAATCAATCTTTTCTCTTTATTTTACTGTTAGTAGCGTGAGAATTATCAGTCTATTACAATTTACCCACTTATTATAGACGCACGGATTTAGGCAAGAGGAGAGAGTACAACTTTCGGGGAACAAGTTTATTCATGAAGGGGAAATAGAGTGTAGGTTTTAATATATATAATAAGAGAACAATAATTATATATGTATTTGTCTTAGTTTATTTGCTTAGAATCATTAGGGCTTTTTTGGTATCACTGTAGTTTTCAGTTTTTTGGTTTCCAAAGTCAAATGACATATTTCATAAAACGAATAAAAATTAGTGAATCTAATTAGAATCATCATGATTTTGACTACTGACAACAAAAAAGAGCAAGCCACTTTTTCTGGTTTCTTGTTTTTAGTTTATAAAAAAAAAAACAAAAAAGAAAGACTAAAACAAACAGACCCTTAATTATTTCAATGGCTGTAGGTTTGTTGTTTTGTTTCCTTGTGGTTAGTTACTACACATACATTCTTAAGGGAATGCTGAAATTATGCATTGGAGGTGGTTATCTTAGATCTCTGAACTATGACAGACCTTGATGTCAAATTTACTTGCTGCCTCACCTGTCTTGATCCTTCAAGTTAGTTTTGGCATTTACTATGTCAAAAGACATGGTTAAGTTGTTTATGAATTAATTTGAGATTGTGGTGGATTAGTAGGTTAGCTGAGATCCATCTGACACGTGTTTGGAATTTAAAACTTCTTTTGTTTTTTGAGCTTTCTCTTTATTTAATTTTTCGGACTTGCATGCTTTTGTAAATGCTTATAATCTCTTATGAATGCCTTGTGGAATATATTAGTACCAAGACTATTAACATGGAGTGATATTATGCCAATATATATTGTTTTCTTGCTTATTTTTAGCTAATATTAGACTGCTTTAATTATCTGTTGCAACTTTTGGCATAAATGAAAGGAAAAATTCATGGGAATAATCCCACCTTTGGGCCGTTCGTTTTTAATAATCCCACCTTTGGATTATTATTTAATAATCCGACCTTTACCCCCAATTCTTTTTTACTAGTCCCAACCGGTCATGTTACATGACACGTGGCGGCCTGTGATTGGTAAAAAAAAAAAATTTAAAAAAGTTAAATTTGTTTAAAGAAAAAATAAAATAAAAAAAAAATAATTACAAACCAGCCCAAGCCACCACCCTTCCCAGCCGGAAACCACGATCTCCTTCCCCTACCCAACCGAAAACCACCGAACAACCACCACAGCCCCACACCCTTCATATGAAACCACCACAGCCCCACTCCCTTCATATGAAACCACCGCAACCCCACTCCCCCTTCACCTGAAACCACCCCTTCCACTCCCAAATCCGACCACTCCACCCCCTTCCTCTCCGAAATCCGACCACCCCACCCCCTTTTCCTCTCAAATCCGACCACCCCACCTTCTTCCCCTCTGAAATCCGACCACCCACCCCTTTTCCCTCTCAAATCCGACCACCCACCCTTTTCCCTCTCAAATCCGACCACCCCACCCCCTTCCCCTCTGAAATCCGACCACCCACCCCCTTCCCCTCTGAAATCCGACCACCCACCCCCTTCCCCTCTGAAATCCGACCACCCACCCCCTTCCCCTCTAAAATCCGACCACCCACCCCCTTCCCCTTGAAATCCGACCACCCATCCCCTTCCCCTCTGAAATCCGACCACCCACCCCCTTCCCCTTGAAATCCGATCACCCACCCCCTTCCCCTCTGAAATCCGACCACCCACCCCCTTCCCCTCTGAAATCCCGACCACCCACCCCCTTCCCCTCTGAAATTCGACCACCCCACCCCCTTCCCCTCTGAAATCCGACCACCCCACCCCTTTTCCCTCTGAAATCCGAGCAGTCCACCCCCTCCCTGCCGCCGTCGTCCACCGCAACCCTAAACCTTTGAAAAAAATCCGGTTTCGGGGTTAGGGTGGTTTCCCGTTTCCGTTTGAGGTGGTTTCGGGGTACGGGAGGGGGGCTGCAAAGGATGGGAAGGGGCTGTGATTTACCGGCGTGGGGGAGTGACGGGGGTGGGGGTTCGTGGTGGTTGCGTTCGGGGTGGGGGATTTAGGGTGGTGGTTATGGTGGGAATGGGGTTGGGTTGCGGATGGGGGTTTGGGGTGGTGGTTATGGCTGGGACTTGTGGAGGAGGTGGCTGGGTTGTCGTTTTTTTTGTTTTTAATTTAAAATTTTAGACAAATTGTATAGTGACACGTGTATTTTAAACCAAAAAAAAAAAAAAAAAATTACCTCTTCAATCGGTTACTGGTCACCCGGGACCATTAAAAAAGAATTGGGGGTAAAGGTCGGATTATTAAATAATAATCCAAAGATGGGATTATTAAAAACGAACGGCCCAAAGGTGGGATTATTCCCATGAATTTTTCCTAAATGAAATTGAAAATACTTCTGATAGTCTTCTTCAGACTTTAAGCCAATGTTCATTTAGTGTAGTACATTTTGTATCTATTTTTGTCTTTTTTGGGGGTTGGTTTTATGTTCAGAGAAAGCAGAAGTTTTGTAATTGGAGATCACTTTTTTAGATTTATTTACTCTGTGCCTTTCCCCTTCTTTTCTTGTGGTCAACAGTAGGGTTACCTCTCTAGCATTTCGTTCAGATGGAATCTCGTTGGTATCTGGATCAGAAGATGGCAAAATTCGTGTATGGGATACTAGAACTCGTAATATTGTTCGCATGTTTACACATGGTAAAGGTAATATGACCCACTTAACAACCTGTTTATGATAACTTATCATGTCCTTTTCATTTTTTTTTATTAATATTAAGGTGAGGAGCAGAAAGCAGGTAGTGGGAACTGTTTCAACTTTGACATCTCAGTGATAGGATACAAATCCTCACAATACATAGAGAGATACTCCCCCCTCCCAAACACGCACACACACCAAAAACAAGGAGGGGCCTAATATAGATATGAATCCTCACAATACCTTTTGTTTAGATTGTGTTGAAAATATAAGTATCTAATGAATAATATAGATAATTAAGACAAACAAGTAGCTTGGAGTCTACAATCTACATGCACCTAAGGATGGGTTAATATTATTACACCAGTTCTTTGGAATATTTAATGAATCTGTAATGTATCTAGGTTTTATTAATCACTTCAAGTTCAACTGGAGTAGTGGACAGTTATGTTACTTATGTACTGATGTGGAATTTTTTTTTATCAATCACTTCAAGTTCAACTAGACTACGAGTACTGGACTGTTATGTACTGACTAATGTGGAATTTTATATGTCCGTTCTGCTGTTTAAATATCTGGACTTCTTGAGATTTGATTTTGATAGGAGCTGAAAAGCTTGTATCTCAACTATCTTTTTATGTGTTTGGAATGATAGTTGATGAAAATCATGCTGACGTATAGAATCAGAAGATTAAGATCTAGGGGATTCATTTCACCAATAACTCACTTGTTGCTATTCGGAATACCTTGTTTAGTGTCTCATCATATTTCAATATACTTGAAGTATCCTTATCCTGTATGTAAGTTAGAGAGGTTGGCTTTGAACTGCAATTAAGATCTATACTCTCGAGTACACAAGTATTTCTTTCGTAGATATTGATAAGTAAGAAGCTCTTAAGCTTTTGTCCGTAAGTGAATATTGTGTAGGAATAATATGGTCACCCTCAAACTAATATGGTGTAAACCTAAAATTTATAAGCACAACTGCACAAGGTATCCACTATTGAGTATGTTGGTTCCAATTCCTGTCAAGTTTGTGCACTAACTTGCCTCTTATGGTTTTATGTGCCAGTCTGCTACTATAAATGGATTAAATAAAAAAAATAAAAAAAAGGAAAAACAAAAAAGTGGATCTTCCTGGTATATTTATTACTACACATTGCTTTGTTACAATCTTGCCCAACGACAAAATTCAAACTATCAATATGTGAGCTGTTTTGCTTGACAGGTCCAGTGACCAATGTTCTGATTACTAGGATTTCAGAGAGCGAGTTGAAGTCCCAAGCTTCTCATGGGAGGAAGGCCTTATTGCCTCCGTCACTTGAAAAATATGCAAATTCTAGTGAGGAGATTGTGGGGACAAAGGCTTTTATTGGTTGTGACAGCTCTTCTAATCCAGGTTGTGGTTCTTACCTCATCGAACATGTGATGAACAACCAAATCAAAGAATTTCAGGTTAGTGATCAATATTGATCCGTCTTTATGTGTGAGTGGTGTGGTCTATTTTTCCTTACCGTTTTCTTTCTTGTTTAGCAACAAGGCTCAACTACTGCAGCAGAAATGGAAGTTGAGCGACTAAAACTGGAGTGCAAGAGAGCAACACAGATGGTCCAACAATGGAAAAGTATGTACGACAATTTGCATCAGTTTTGTGTTAATGAGCTTGTTGATGAAAGTAATGCCAAACACATTAAAATAAACTCTGGTTGAGATATTGCAAAGGGGCATGCAGATGATTCAGCTATTTAAGAAACTGATAATCTACATTGGTTTCGAGCGAATGAGCTTGTGGAGATGACACTTGAGCAAACCATAGGAATACCAACCCGATTCAGGCTTTGCTAAGTGTATTTCAGCAGCTTTCAAGTTTTGTAGGCTTTGTTAGTCTGTATTTTACATTTGGTTTGCTTTGGATCATATGTTGATACAGCGTTAATTTGCTTATTGATTGATGTGGTTGTACATGCTACCAAAACCTATACAAAAGTATCAGCCTTTTTTTTTTTTTTTTCCTCTCCAATACAACACTTTTCTAAAACGGTTTTTTTTTTTTTTTTTTTTTTTTTTTTTTTTTTTTTTTTTTTTTGTCTTTTCCAATTACTGCGTTTGATTTAAAAACGAAAACCTCCAAAAATATCTGCAAAAAATATCTAACGTCTACACAACTTTCCATGCCAGCACAACTTAAGAATATCCAAAAAAAAGTCTTGTTTGACATTGGACCATGTTGAAAAATTAGAAAAAGTACAAACAAACAAAACTTCAAAACATAATCTAATCTCCACTTCCACGTCACAACACTTTCAATAATTCCTTTTTAATGTTTTATAAATACAATGACATGTATAATTCATTGATGTGTTGATTATTCTAAAATGAATCGAAAAATTACACTTAAAAACATATAAACAAATAAAAATTAACAGAAAATATTCCTATCAATCCCCAATCTTCATCTTTAATCATATATATGTTCAATATGATTATATGATACGAGGAAAAAACAGATGTTTAGGAAGTTAAATCTAACGAAATCTCACATAATACGAGTATAATATTTATGAAAATAGTATAATCTATAATGCACTCGGAAAGAACATTAGGCATATTTTAAAGAATATAGGCGAAAAAAGAATATACTAGTGTTTGAAAAAAAATATACCTATGTTTGACAAAAGAACATGTTTGTGTTTCACAAAAAACATGGCATTATAAAGAACATAAAGTGTTTACAAAAGAACGTGATAATACATTAAAGAACATGTTTTTTTTCATGGTTACTTAGGGTGGTTGAAAGTGTTTGAAAAAGAACCTTATGTTTGACAAAAGAACATGTTTGTGTTTGACAAAGAATATGACATTTTAAAAAAACATAAAGTTTTTACAAAAAGAACATGATAATACATTAAAAAACATGTTATTTTTAATGATTACTCAGGTGATTAAATTTAACATTTTTTTTATGTACATACATTAAAGAAAATATTGTATAATGTAAAGAACATATAATTCAAACTCAAAGAACATAATGATCAAACTCAAAGAATATATTATGCTCACGTTCTTTATATTTGTCTATTATGTTCTTTTAACCTAAAGTTCTCTTCGGATGCACCAACCACGCATTAATTTATTTATGATATTGAATTTCTATAATTAAAGTTTTAAAAAATTAACCACAACATCAAAATGTAAAAATTAAAAATGACAAAAGAGTACTAAAGATATTTTAAAATGTCAAAAAAGTATGCATTAGAGACCGTTCAAAAATCCAATAAATGGATAAAAATATTAACAGAAAACTAAACAAAGAAGCAATGTCAAATTATCATTGGTGTTAAATAACCCCAAAACTAAACTAAACTAAGAAAAAAAATCGAGGTTTCCATTCATCAGGTGGGATTTTCATTCTCGCTCCTCACTATTTTCCCAGATTCCGACATAGTAATCATCAAAAAAATCTCACTTTCATCCAATCAAAACACGACATCAAACAGCCACGTGTCATCCTCCGAACTCTCTGAAGTCTCCTCCCTGTTTTTTTATCGGTCGGTATATCTTTTTGTCAAACTATCCTTATTATTAACACCAACAACAAATAAAAAAATTTATTCATGTAAATTAGATCAAACCCCATTTTTTCTTCGCCTACATACATGGTGAGATCGAATGGGGTGATGGTGGTGGAATTGGTTTCCGATACGATAACGATGGCGGTGATGAGTGGAACAAGAAAGCGGCAACGTCGACAACGACTGCGAGAAGAGAAAGAAAATGAAATTGAAAATGGTAATGAAAATGATCCAATGGAAGTGTTGGGTGAAGATGTAATGAAGAAAATAATGGGAAGTTTGGATGCACGCAGCTTGGCACGCTCTCTTCTCGTATCCCGCTCTTGGTTCTCTCTTGCTTCTTCTGATTTTTTTTTGTAATTTTGTTTTATTTATATGTTATGTTATAATTGTTGATTTTTAATTTGGAAAATATTGGAATTTATTTATTTAATTTGGGAGTAGTGACTTGTTTTAATTTCAGTTCAATTGGGAAAATTTGGCAGTTCTGTTAGAATAATAGGGACAATTTGATCGTGAATTATCGTGCACATGTAGTCTAGTCTAGGTGTTGGTTGGTAAGCCGCTTAACATGCTTGTTCGTGGTTCTATGTACCTCTATAACATACTCCGTATAGAATTGATAATTGAGTATCGATCATGGCGAATGACACCTAAAATAACACTAATAGAATGAGTACGATTTTAAAGACGAGGTGTTGATGTTACGCTAATTGGGTGTCAACTGACTATAAATTGTATTTTGTATTTTTAGAGAAGGAAATTTGATACTCCGTATATGAAAACTATTTTTTTTAATTGAGCCTTGGTGATGGAGTCAGTGTTTAGTAGTCCACCAAATGAAATCCGATAAAATAAGTTCAGATAGATTAAATAATTGACTAGAAAATGGCCTCAATCAAACTGAGTAATTTGGAAATAATAGTCGTCTCTTCTATTAAAATGTGACATATTATTTAGATTTTTTTTGCTTGTTTTGTTACTGTTAGCGACAACAATTACACGAAAAGGTTACCTTGTTGCAGGACACAGTGTATTTAGAGTAGGATATACTGTATTACATATGAGGTCATCAATAGGCAGATAGAGTTATAGAGGTGAATTGTCTGTAGATTGAAAAAAATCATGAAGTATGGACTGATGAAACTGCAAACGATAGAGTTTAGACAACATACTTTCAATGTATTCTTCCCATAAAACCACTCCTTTTTTAATATGTTTGTGAAACCAAGTAAAACAGCTATTTGTGTAGAATTTGGACATGTGACGTAAGCTGAAGGTACCTGACAGATGAGTATAAAAGTTCCTCTCTGCTTACCAAGATTAGTCTATGGGCTTTAAAATGCAAATCGGCGAGTCTAGTTTTTGTCCAAATCTTTTTGTTGTTGTGTATATTCGATTCTATGACTCTTTGTCTCTGTTGTTTGTGCATTTGCATAATTTTACTTCCTGTGGCTGTACTGATTTTAACATTAGTTGAGCTTATGAAATCAGATAGACGATTATCAATATTTCCTTTATTCTAAAGAATACATCCCATTGATTTCAGTGTAAAAATTTGTGGATTGGGAAAGCGCATATACCCAGATGGTCGAAAGTACCAGGATTGTCAAAGTTAGCTTGTTATTCCCGTGCAGTCGCTGATAGTAAGCGGGTGAGTCTTCTTTTAGTTCTTTTTACTGCCTTAATTCATTAGAGTGCCCTTATTTTCTTTGTATGTGCTGGTGCATCAAGTGCATTTTGTTGGTTCTATATCGTCTTGCTCTAACTCATTCACTTCTTTGGTGCTTGTAGATCCGTATTATGAGGGAGGATCTCTGCGACCATTCCTGGGATTTCCATTTCACTGAGGTATATTTTAATCTGTAAATTTCATATGTATTATAGTTGTGAAATTGGTAATTTTCTCCTCTAGTAGTCTAGTACTTCACAGTTTTCAGTTGCAGATTCGGTTCTTTTCCTATTTTTAGTAAATATGTTTCACTTCAAATTTGAGGATTTCTTGCAACAGTTATGCACTCTCTTTTTGCAACGAAGCCAGTTCAAAAATACTGCTATTTACTTTCTTTGTTTTTTTTTTTTTTTTTTTTTTGGGGGGGGGGGGGGGGTGTGCAATTTCTTTTCCGGCCAATACTTGATTTCATATAGATTTGGAATGCTTAAAATTTAACAGGGTAATTACAAGGACATATGCATATATGTACTGAATAGAATAATGCCAAGTGATAGTGTGTTACAACCATTTTTGAAACTTATCTGTTATATACATTCGTTATAATGGACAGATACATAAATAAGCACTTAGAAGATCAAACTTACTTACCCTCTTTGTAAGTCGTGATTCGAAAGAGCAACTTCAACACTCCTTGATTAGAATTCTATTCATGAAAGCGGTTGGGTTTTGAAAATCTTGCACATATTAAGTCACTTAAAGTCATAAGATTTGCAAAGCAGAGCATCTTGTCTTCTACCTGTTCAACTATGACAGTTCTATTCAGGGTTCACTAACAACATCATTACTCTTTCGATTACCAGGCTGCCCCTGCTTATTGGAAAAATCTCGACCCATACTGGGGAGGTTCGGGCTCTCCAATGCATCGTTACTTCCATGCTGATGGGAGCCAGACTGCAGACCCTGACGACAAGGTTTGGGGTGGCCATGAGTGTACTTACACAATTGTCACCAGCATTGTCGGAGATGGAAAGATCAGGGAAAACTATGTCAGGATAAATCGTTGGCCTCGCTTGGCTGTGTCGAGGAGGGATGACTGGGGTTGGGAGATGTCCAATGTTATCTTCGCTTACTCCAGTGTCCCAGATGCACATAAGGATAGCGGGACTGGACCTATGTTCTAACTTATATATACAGAGTTTATCCCTGCAGTTTCTTTGTTTAGGAATTGAATTCAAATGGCATAATTTAGGCCAAGTTTTTCTAGTGGTCCTATGATGCCAATAGGTAATATTTACAGTTTTTCCTTGTTTCTTGAATAATTAAAATTGCCTATAATAAGAGCTGGGTGGAGTTATGTCTGAGTGTGATCAGTTTGTAGTCTAAATAATATGTATACTTCTACTTAATAGTTATAGGTTTTGTGTTCCACTTTGCCAATGTATATCAGAGGATTGTTATAATGTTTAATATTTTACTTTTTTCTCTTCTTGCTATTGCCAATCTATATCATAGGATTGTAAATACCGGTTGTTGTTGTAGTTTAAATCTTTTTGGAGGATATAAACTTATTAAGAAAAAAATCAAGTTCTACCGAAAATAAGATACTTTGGACCATCGTGTTGAAACATACTTAGAAAAAACTTTTGGAGTTCATATTACATATTCGTACGTTGTATAACACTTTTGCCACGAGATGGGATGCCGTATTCCCTGCCCTTCTTACTTGATTACAAGGAAATAAACAAAATCTCAAACTAGATCGATCTCAGAATATAAATTCTCACACAGATGTAGCTTCCATCTGTCTGTCTCTATACTTCTTGAAGTGTAAATACAGTTGATTCTGATCAGGGACATTGTTCTTGATCATTGGAACATCTTTGAAATTGTTGAACCATTTATATAAGCAAGGGAAAATGTTGGCTTCAAATATCTGAACTCCCACAATTTGCTCAATAACTTGTAACCAATATATTAAACTCCCAAATGCCAAATCTACAATTCCAATTTCTTCACCTCCAAAAAAAGTATTGTTTCCTAGATTACCATGCTCTTCTAAAGTTTTTAGCATTTCCAAGCCATCTTTTTTAGCCTTGGCTTGCTCTTCTCCTGTGGTTTGTGCAAACATCCAAAAAGCTATGCCCTGTAATATAAGTACATGATTTATAATAACAAGTTAGTATTGTAGCAATAATTTGTTGAATTTTGAAGATCATTATCTTATAAAGGAGTTAATTTATTAAAGTTTGACCGTATCAAAATAAGAACAGAAATCATAATTAGTACGGAGTATTTGTATTTAGTAGCTAAGATCTTAAATCAAATCTCGTCTAAACCATTAATGCTAATAAAACATTTCCTCTACTTTTGTATTTGTAATATGTATTAAGACTTTCATGCTTGTTATTTTTCAATTACATAAGTTCAATAATTAATTTTTTCAAATATCAATAATCAATAAAAGTTATATAACAAAATTTGTTTTTTTTGTATCAAGACGAATATAATAAGATCCGACTAATAGTTCAAAATATACCTTTCCTTCAGCAAATTTGGCCCAAAATCTAACCAAGGCTCTTTCATACGGCTCCTTGGGCAACAATGGATAACGATGGGGCCACATCTCTTCAATATATTCAAGGATAACTAAAGATTCACAAATTGGTTTTTCATTGTGAACCAAAACTGGGATTTTCTTATGAACTGGATTATATTGTAGAAGTAATGAACTTTTATTAGTAAGATCTTCTTCAACATAATCATATTTTATGCCTTTTAAGTTTAGTGCCCAAATAACTCTGCAACTAAATGGGCTTGACCAAACTCCCAACAACTTTATATTTTCCATGCTATTTTATGAAGATTAAGATTGTGGGGTTTTGTAATTTTGTTGCTAGATTAATAGAGTTTGAACTTATCGGAAATGATGTTTTATATAGATAGTGATTAGGGGGATTAACTTTAGGGAAACTTCTAAGAAAGTGCTTAATTAGTTTTTTAGACACTGTGTTGGGTAAGATTATTTTTATTTTTATTTTTTTTGTTTTCAAACAAGGCAGGTAGGTTTAGGCTTATTTTTAGTGACTAATCTAATTTCCGACTTTATTAAACTTTGACATTGGATATTTGTACACTATGGCCTTGTTCACTTCACCTTAAAAAAAAAAAATTATTAGTTGAATAATTTTAGTTCAGTAAAAATAATTTCAGTTTAGTAAAAATAATTTGAATTCAATAAAAATAATTTCAGTTCACCAAAAATTAAGTTAAAAGTAAATAAGGCCTTATAGGAAAAATATTATCAAATGAGATAGTTATGACATTCATATAAATGTGTTATTTTTAAGTATTTAAAATTCATAAATTAATTTTATTACAGGTAATTTTTTGATAAACAACCACAAATAAAAAAAAATATTTGATCTGATATGTTATGATCTAATTTAATATGGTCTGATATATTTTATCATATATTTCTAAGAATTGATAAGATATATTTGCTTAAATAAGTTGAAATGGACATAACATTAGTTCACCTTGTTATTCTATTCTATGTTAATTTCAATTATTATGTAATAAGGTTTTGAGATAAAGCTAATCAAACATAACCTAAACTAGTACTACATTTTTCGTAAGTGATACACTTTTTGTAAACAACATTAGTTTGATTGCTATCCTTCCTTATTTTGAAAACTTTTACAGAATACTAATTTTTATTAATAATATGGAAAACAAATTTAAAATAAAGCTATATTTTTCTATTGCCTTTTATAAAGCATAATAAAATTTCTCATGTGAAAATTCAACCTAAAGGTTTTTATGCATAAATATAAAAAATATATCAGTCTAGTTCAAGACTTCTTTATAAGGATTCAGACTGAATTACACTAGAGACCGGATAAAAATAAATGAATACATTTCGTAACTCAAAGACCAAACTAGTACTCTACTACTCTTCTTTCGGATTCGAACAATTTATCTGGACCGATCTCTGATCACCTCTAAGTGAGATAATGTATTGACAAATGTAAAATGAGAATTATTGCAAGTAAAAAAAATTATACTTGTATAATAGAAGAGAGAATTATATAGAAAAAATACGGTGAATTATTCCATGAACTGAAATTTTTTTTTATTATTTATAATTTAGTAATTTTGTGTTACACCCAAATAAGTTGATATAACTTGTGCAACTTATATACTAGGAAAAACTATAACATGATATAATTGATTGGTATGACTCAAATCAACTTTGAAGCAAGTCTGACCCAAGCACCCGAATAGACAATGCAACTCTAATTATAAATATATGGAGTACTTCGTATCACATAGAGGAAGCATCCATTAGTCTCTCTCTCTGCTTCTTGAAGGACAAAAACATTTGGTGCTGATCAGGGATATTGCTCTTGATAATTGGTACATCCTTGAAGTTGTTAAACCAATTATACAAGCTAGGGAAAGTAGTGACTTCAAATAACTTGATTTCCAATACTTGCTCAATAACTTCCAACCAATGTATTACACTCGCAACTGCAAGATCTGCTAGTCCAACATTTTCACCTCCAAAAAATGTATTAGTTCCTAGATTACCATGCTCTTCTAATGTTTCTAGCATGTCAAAGCACTCTTTCTTAGCTTTGGCTTGGTCCTCCCCTGTGGTTCGAAATAGTATCCAGATAACTATGCCCTGCAGTCATGTTTGTCACAATAATTACATGATTTTAAACGTTTAGTGACTAGTCCTTTTACCCCATGTGCTACACTTAAGGGTAAAGGCTAAAGATCAAATCTAAAGATGGCAATGGATCAGGTTGGCCCAAGGCACAACATAAATATGAGATTGTCATGAGCATAACATGACACACTATTTTGTTTGTCAAGCCTTGATTGAGACAATTTTCTTTTGGGAAACCACAACAAGGCAAGACCTAATAATCACACTAACATGCTAAAATAAAGTTAAATTTGACTTAGTCACACAAATACAATACACTTAGACACGTTGACACGTGAAAATGGATCGTGTTTGATTACCCTTTTACAAATTTTGACATAACACATAGCTAGTGGGTTAGCTTACTAGGCCCAAGACATGCAAGCTAGACACGGCCCAGAACTATCTTTATTAATCAAATCTAATTCATAATTTATTCTAGCAGTTTAGGGTAGAAATTAAATTGAGCAACCACTAAGCTAATACCAACTTGGTTGGTTGACATGTTAATGTTCCAACATCACCATATCGAGATCGAAGAACTTCCGAGCAAAATTATTTGATAAAATACATCATAGTATGAACAAAGTTTAGAATTGTACCTTTTCATCGGCAAATTTGGCCCAAAATCTAACCATTGCTCTTTCATAAGGCTCCTTGGGTAATAATGGATGTTGATGAGGCCAAATTTCTTCAAGGTACTCAAGAATAACTAAGGATTCACATATTGGTTTTTCATTGTGAACTAAAACTGGGATTTTCTTATGAACTGGATTGTATTGTAGAAGCAATGAACTTTTATTAGCAAGATCTTCTTCAATATAATCATATTTTATGCCTTTTAATTCAAGCACCCAAATCACTCTATAACTAAATGGGCTTGGCCAAGTTCCAAATAGCTTTACATTTTCCATGGTTCATTGAGAAGAATACACATATGTGATCTAACAATTATGTTTAATTAATAGAAGTTTACTTGAGGGAAACATCTAAGAAGGTGCTTTAAAAGTTTTTTAATCGTTTCTTCGGCATGACTTTTTGACTTTGAATTAAGGTTTTGTTATGTTTTTTATATGGTGAAGTATTATTGTCACCATCAATCCCTAAGTAAATGACCAAGTTTGATTTGATTTACTTTGAAAGGATGTATTAATAAATCAATGTGTCATACTAATGAAGGTGAATGTCTATAAAGAAGGAAATATAGCAAGTGGGGATAAAGCATGTCTATAGAGAAGGAAATATAGGTGCAAATTGGTTAGCTTGTCAAGGTATTTAACAATTGTCATTCCAAAATATTCAGTCGGAAATATCAAATCTTGTTTACAATACGGAGTAGAAAACATGTAAACAATGTAACTTGCGTTCTACATTAATTTTATCGATAAGAAGTTAAAGAAATTTTTCTTTATGTTCATTAATAACATTAATTTTATCAATGAGAAGTTAAGAACTTTTTCTTTACATTCATCATAAATTTTTTCTACATATACTATCCCATATGAGCATGAGCACGAGCACGAGCACGAGCACGACATGTAACTCTAAATAAACATAATTTTCCTTTTCTTCATATTTTTCTTCTTGGATGAGCTGAGTTTTCACATTTAATGCAAGTAATGAGTTAATTCAATATCTTATGAACCTATATAATAACATGTATGTTTAATTAATAATCAATTGGAATATTAATACAATGGGGTACGTTATTATCTCAAAAAAATTTAAGTATTACGGAATATAAAACTTAGTTTTAAGTGATACCAATGCAACTTATATGTAAAATTTTAACCTCATGAAACATTTTAATCGTCTCACCTTAGAATTTTATCATGTCATCAATTCAACCAACAAATTGTTGTTGTTTCAACAAAACTTTTGATGAGCATCGTTGGGTCATGCAAGTTCAACACATGATCGATGATGAAATCGAAGAAGACGATGGAGACATCCATGTATCCATATTCAATGTCCCTAATGCCTTAAGGGATATAAATCCTAATGCTTACACTCCTCAATTGGTTGCTCTTGGTCCTTATCATTATCGACGTTTTAAGCTTCAAGAAATGGAGAGATACAAAATTTCTTCAGCTAAGAGGTTTCAAAATCGAAAGCAAAGCACAAAATTGCACACCATTGTGGATCAATTGATAATGCTCGATCATAGAATTCGAGCATGCTATCACAAATATTTAGACATCAGTAGAGAAACATTAGCATGGAAGATGGCTATTGACTCTGCCTTTTTGCTTGAGATTATTGACATTTATAGCAACAAAGAAGGAAAGTTTTTATGTCAAACTTCTTCCAAGATTGTTGATTTTGCAAGAAGGAAATCGGTATATAACACTATCTTGAGGGATATTATGATGTTGGAAAATCAAATTCCTCTATTTGTCCTAAGAAAAATTTCGAATTATTGGTTTCATTCTTCAAATATGGTTGATGAAATATTGGATGATGTCCTAGTTGGCTTATGTAAAGATGTTTCTCCTTTCAAAATGTTGAATTGGGCACAAATTCAACCCTCTTCTTGTGCGCATATTCTAGAATTTTTGTACAAAAGATTGACTCCTAAAGTAGAAGAAACGGTTGAAATCGACGAAAATGTTAATCAAGGCATCAACGAGGAAAGAAGGTTATGTAAGTTGCTTTCACAACTTAAGGAGTCCTTACATCAAATTCCACTTAAAGCCGTCTTCAAATTACCCTGGATTTTCATTTGTAGCCTTCCTGGTTTAGCCATTTTGTCTGCTGTTGTTTTGCCTAAGGAAAATAATTTCGAAAACCCTATTGACACCAAATCTACTCAAGACAACATGCCACCTTTATTTGAAGAAATTATGATCCCATCTGTCATTGAACTTTCAAAATCCGGGGTCACATTTTTGCCTGTTAATGGAGATATAATGAGTATTAATTTTGATCAAAAGAGTAAGAAATTCTATCTCCCTACCATTAGTATAGATGATAACACCGAGGTTATTCTACGAAACCTAGTAGCATTTGAGGCATCAAGCACATTAGGTCCATTAGTATTTACTCGTTACACCGAGGTAATGAATGGCATTATTGATACAAAAGACGATGTAAGGCTCTTAAGAGAGAAAGGGATTATACTCAACTACTTGAGAAGTGATGAAGAGGTTGCTAATCTTTGGAATGGGATGAGTAAGTCATTGAGATTAACAAGAGTTTCTTTCTTGGATGAAGTCATTGATAATGTCAATAGGTATTATGAAGGGAATTGGAAGGTCCTATTAAGTAGATTCATGAACGCATGTTTAATCAATTCTTGGCAATTTTTAGTATTCATAGTAGCTGCTTTAATCTTGTCATTGTTGATATTACAAGTATTAGGTTCACTCTTGTACAATTCTCGCATGGTTGGTCCACATCCTCAAGGATGAATATAAGCTAGGAATATAGCCAATTTGATTAATTTCATGTTTTTTTAGAAGTTAATGTTTTTATTATATATAAGTTTCTTTGCCTAGGAGTTGTTTAACGAAGTAAAATGTAACCGTGCTAATCGAGCTATGTAGTTTATGAAATTTACATCGTATATTTAAGAAGTTAATAAAAAAGTGTCGGTAGTTATTTAAGTTTGTAGAATAAAAAGAAAAAAAAGCAATTACGATGGAGTATTGGAGTATGTAAAATTTGAGGATTAAGGTATCGTTGGTTTGTATTAAAAAGGTGACAGGACGTTTAGTAGCAGATCAATGTTAATTAATGATTGTACTTGCTCTATTTTAGCTTCCATACTTCAAACTGACACATTAGGGATTTCCCTCGTGAGAAGGGTTTCCTAATGTTATTTCTTCTTATCTTTTCCCAAAAAAAAAAAAAAATAAAACATTTAATTATCTCCTGATTATATTATCAATTGGTAGAAGCTACGTCCAGTTGTATTTAGATTTATATGCAAATGGGTAAAACAATAACTTAATGTGATATTATCATGTAGTAATGTACTTTTGTTATATATATAATAACTAGTCTTCAGCCCGTGTAATGCACAAATTTGGTAAAGTAAAATCGAGATAAAATTAGATATATTAAAAAATAAGGCAATACAAAATAACCTAAATGCATAATTTAAAAAATAATATTTAGATATATTATAGACTATATTATCCGTTTTACAACCCAACTTAATTCCTCTCCTCATTATTAAGAATCCCTTTTTCATCTCATATTATCTATTCTCTCTTTTATGATACATTTAGGAACAAGCTTGAAAGCTTTCCTATTGTTGAATTTTTTAAGTATGATATTTTGGCAATTCCGCTAATTACGTACAGCAAAGATAAGAGTTGAGAAAACTTTTACATGTCAATGAATGGAAAAGACATATATTTATTATTTAACCCCAAAAACTGTGTCTATCTTCTGTGTTTTGTATTTTTAAGGTTGAAAGTTTTGAACAATGAATTTGATTTTATTGTCATGCATTACAATGAAGTTGTAATTCATTCGGTAAAAAATGAAGGGCCTTGGAAATTATAACCATTAGGTGGTAAAGGGCCCCGAAAATTATAACCGGTAGGCAGTGAAGGGCCCCGAAAATTCATTCCGATAGTAAACTGAAGGTCCCGAAAATTATAGCCAGTAGTAAACTGAAGGTCCCAGAAATCATAGTCGGTAGTAGGATGAAGAATTGAAATTTTTTTTACCGAAATTAAATCAGGATCTTGAAAATGAAGGTGTCTAAAAATATTTCATAGAAGTTAAATTTGTCCAATAGTCATATTAACGTAAGTACCTTAGAAAATTGTCAAAATGACGTTCATCATCATTCATCAAGCCTTACAAAGTTCGAACAAATGAATGGTTGAAGACTTTGAGATAGGTTTACAAGTAAAATGTTAGGGGTGATTAAATAGGTATGGCGTGGAAGATTGTTAGGGATGGTAATGGATCAGAGGTGGGTCAGGTGATGCTTCATTTGCCTCCATCCACCAATGATCCATCCGTCACCCAATCCATCCATCCACCTAATTTACCTTCATCCACATCCGATCCATCCATCATCCATGGGTGGATCGGGTGATAATTCGAGTGAAATAAAATATATATAAATACAATTTTGCACTTTCACAATTAAGATAAAGATTTGAAAAAAGTGAAAAATTAATTAAAACTTTGATATATCTTTCTAATACTTGCTTGGTTTTATTAACTTAAAAGCACATGTTACTTCCTAAACCTTGCAAATGGACATTATATTATTAAAAAAGTATTTATTTTTATTTTTATATATGTAAATTTAACGGGTGGATGGATGAATCGGGTGATGGGTTGGATGTATCATCACCCGAATCCGACCTGATCCGTCACCCGACTTGTTTCGGGGTTTTCTGATGTCCTGCGGGAGAGTTACAATTCCGAAACTGGATCCTTGCTCCTGTACCTGCAAAACAACGGAGACTCTGGGTGGTGGGAGCTCCGCCTCCGACGATCAAGTTAGTATTTGTATGTGGAGTAAATGGTGCGGAAAATAGAGAGGGGTGATCTGGTTCCTCTAGGGGGAGGAGTGATCGGGAGGTGCAAATAATGCTAAGTCTGGTCTAGAAATAGTATGCACGTGTGTTTAGGCTTCTCTAGGTGAGAGTAATTAATTCTGAATGTGTTAAATGGAGGCTTAATTACTGTATTTATAGCCTCGAAGTGTGTGCCCAATACTAGGTTTTAGGTAAACCTAGGACTGATTGGGCCTTGCCTCGGAAATCGGGCCTTGGTAGCCGTTTTCCAGGTTGGCATGTCATGGGCCACGTGGCGTGGCATGATTGGTCCATGCTGGACTGATTACTGCCTGACACGTGGCAGACCCTGGCAGGTCCATGTGGCGGACACATGACAGGACCTGATTGGTCCACGTGGCAGACTGTGGTTGGGCGAGGAAAATCCCCTAATCACGACTCATCCATCATCCATTTGTCACCCGCTTAAGTTCGGATTTTCATCGACATATTTGGATCGGGTGGATGGTTATCCATCGGGTTTGGATGATATTGCCACCCCTAAAGATGGTAGATTAAAACAAGGGTATCATTGAAAATATAAAATTTATTAAAAATTAAGTTATCTTGCATTTAGATAAAATCATACCCTGCATTTAGTACCTCCCTTCATGGAGAATATAAAAGAAACACCATTCAATACATAAATTAAATTAGCAATAATATATATATATATATTTTTTAAATGAGAGACTAAAAAAGGGGTGTCACTTGGTGCTAAGAGAATCTCCAATGGTAAGCTAATTGTCAAATTAGCTTGTCATGCCACATATGATTTCAAGCTAATTCTGTCTGTAGCTATTATTGTGCCCCAATGGTTAGCTACTAGCTTGCTAATTAATAATTTTGGCTTTCTAAATTAGTTTTATAAATTTAATTATTTTAATATATTACACTCTAAAAATTTTGAAAACTTTTTCTCAAACAAATTAGCTTGGCTAAGCTAATTGTATTTTTTAGCTCCAATGGTCAAGCTAATAGCTAGAGAAAATTGCAAGCAAGTCCCTTGCTACAATCATTAGAGTTGCTATAATGGTTTGAGTTTTTATATAATAATAGATAGATGTATTTTTAAAAAAGGTTAAATGTTTTCGTAGTGATGTTTATACTTTTTTGGCTATTATTCGTCTCTAATTGTTGTTTACGTGCTTTTCTTAGTTACCTGCTTTAAAGATAATATTATGTGCTTTTGTTCATCAAGTATGTGCTTTTATTGTAAGGAAAAATAGCAAAATTACCAATGTAATAGGATGTATGTTCTAATTTACTTTGTAGACACAGTAACTGCTTGAGTACTTCCTCTATCCCATACTAATTGACACGTTAAACTTTTTTCATTATTTATATTTGAACTTTGACTATAACATTTTACAAACGTAATAAAAACATATTATATCATGAAATATATTGTTAGATATGTATTATTATAAAGTTTCATAATACAACTTTTTAAAACTAATTTTTATTTATATTTAATTATATAAAACTAGTGCATCGAAATGTTTGCAAAGTAATAGACTAACTTTATCGAGGTAAACATATTAGCATTTTGACAACATGAAACAATAACTTTAAAGTTCAAACACAAAACCAATCATGATCCCATAAGCCATCAAACCAGGGCATGAATAGAGGTGTCAAAATTCAGATTCGGGTTAAGTTCAATTCAGTTACAGATCACTTCGGTTTTGACACCTCAGCCATAACCACCTTGGATAACGTTTTGGCACGAACCCAAGAGGCCAAGACACACAACACACAACACACAACAATTTAAAGTAACTTTGAATTGGAGATGGTAACTTCAAAATTAGGACAACCACAACCACAATCGCAACGCTGAGGAATGACAATGTCGACCGTGCTCATGTCTTCCTTTTCCTTCACTCCGTCCACTATCTTCGCTTGTTCTTCATCTCCAGGTTCTCTCTCTTCCCTAATCCTCCTTCTCATCTTCCGGTGGCAGCAATTATCAATTCTTAGCACACTTTAATTATTAATTTTGACAGATAATTCTAAATCTCCGAATCCAAAATCCGTGAAAATCCGACCTGATTGGAGAGAAAAATCTCGACCAATTCCTCCTGGTGGTACTTACCCTGCTAAAGATCACTGCAGGTTTCGCCTTTCTCTCTCCTCTTTTCTCATAATTCGTTTGAAATTGCTGTTTGGAGAGAAATCATCAATAGAGCTGTCAAATCGAGTGTTCGGGTTGAGTCCATCTGATTCATTGGTTAGTCAACTTGGACGGTGTTAGTTTTTGGCACCTCTACGATTTACTCGTATGTATATAATTAATAATACTACGCGAGTGGTTGGGTTGAGTCCATCTGATCCATTGGTTAGTCAACTTGGACCGTGTTAGTTTCTGGCACCTCTACGATTTACTGGTATATATGTAATTAATAATATTACAAGTATCAAATAAGTTTAATTTAATGAGAAATTGCGAATAGTTTTGAATTCTAGTTGTTTAATATGAAATTAATGATATTAGTGATTGAGGGTTTGACACTGAAGGTAAAATGTGGACTACTTTATTATTTTAATACTGAAGGATTTCATTGGTACTATTGTTTATCTGTTACAGTAAGTTAAATTACAAAAAAATAAGTTTAATAAGTGTCACTATAGTGATAAAAGTGAAATGCGGCCTATTATTTTGAAACTGAAGGATTAATTGCGAGTATTGTTCATATGTTACGGTGGATTTATCCCCAAATAACCTGTTGGAAAGATTGTAACGATATTCAATTTTTGAAAAACTGACGATAAAAGTGATTTAAGGGTTTGACCCTATTAGTTATATGTGGCTTATTATATTGAAACGGAATGAATTAATGTGACTGTTGTTTCTCTGTTATTATTTTCAGTTTTCAGGTCAAATTAACTTATTGGGAAAAGATTAACACATTTATTATTATATTTATTTATTTTTTATTTTTATAATAATTTTTATGGCGCAGTCGATGTGGACTTTGTGATACCTATTACATTGCTCATGTGAAGGAGGCATGTGCTTTCTTGGGAGATGGCATGTCTAGAATAGAAGTATGCTCCTTCTCTTCTTTATTTATTGTTAAACTTTGCAGTAGTTATTATTACCAAGTGGCTCCTTTTTGACAGGCTAAGATGTTACTTTGTTTACTGTTATAATAATTTGTGTATGTGCTGTAAATTGATGCTAGGAATTGAATTAAATAGGACTTGAATTTGCCTCTCAAGCCTTAATATTGCATATTTCTTTTGTTCTCGAACACGTTGAATGATTTATGTATAACCAATGTGTTGATGTTCCTCACATGGTTCAAAATTACTAACGCATCGTTTCAGTTTAGCTGTATTGTGAAGTATTTTCAATTAACAAAATTGGGGTGCTGTAAAACTCTCCATCTTTATCCCTACCTTATTAAAAGTTTAACCAAACACTTATGAATAGTTTTATGCCATCTATATCCCTTAAAATGTTTACTTACATGTATACCCCCATTTATACATGCAAATCACATGTGTCACGTTTTTCTTGTATTTTTTCCTTTTGTTTTTACCATTGTAGCCTTTTGGCTTGTTTTTTTTTGGCCTTTTTTTCTCTACCTTTTAAAAAATTTGAGATAACTCTTATAAATTATGTTTAGACAATTATACCATTTAAAACTAAAGTTGTAACATAAAGCCAAATTTAAAAAGATTCCAGAATATGGCTAGCTATGATGCGTGCGTCGGCCACCTTAGTTTTAGCAAACGTTGCAACCCTATACCATCCGTACATCCGTATTTCACTCAAAAGTTACTTGCAATTTGGAGATATAGTGAAAGATTTCCCATGTCTCTTCAATAATTGATGTGTGCCTCTAATAGTCTACTCTAATAGTAACTACTATTATACAGTAGCATATAATTATTATAAAATCCTATAAAGACTTTGAAATTAAATTTGTACTGCGACAACCTTAACACCGCCTGTGATCAATACATCATTTTTGTTTTCATAATATTGTGACCGTTCCCAAAACAAAACCTTACATCAAAATCATGATTCCCCATATCTAAAATCAACTAACTATTGATTTATCATGGGTATATTCGCTGATATTATCTACTTTCACAAGTTTGTTACTTGTTGCCCTTAACTCCATGTCCTGACCCTTCGCAAAAGTATGCTTTTCGAAAATTATCCTAATTCATGAGCTTTTGAATATTCAGTAAAAATAATTTAGGCTCTGTAAAAAATAATTTATGTTGAGTAAAAATAAGTTTAATTCAGCAAAATTAAGCTCTTTTCATTAACACTAAGTTTTAATCATTAAAATTTAGTAAATATAAAGAACAAAAATAACAAAGAACCAATAAAAAAAAGTTTTAATGATTACAAATAATTTAGATTCAGTAAAATTAATTTAATTTTAGCCAAAATAGTTTTAGTTTAACCAAAATAAGGTTTAGAGAATAAGACTTTAGTCCTTTGACATGGTATCAAGAAACAACATGACAAAAAATATATGACTTCATCTTATCCACCTTCTATTTTTAAAGTGATATATTTAGTGTTGGGCATGACTAGAAGGCCTTGCATCCACACTTTAAGCCCAAAAAGCTCTCATGTGAGGGAGTGTGATGTGAGGGAGTGTGATGGAATATAAAACCAATCTTGGTACTTTAACCTCTAGCGTAGACTTGTGGTTGAAATATTAATTAAAAAATTAGCTTGTATTTAAGCTTAAATTAAGTCTTGCAAGTTGCATTTTGATTGTACTTTCACGTAGCCAAGCTTAAGTCCCTTAAGGGTAGTCTTGTTTCATTTTCACCCCTCCCTACTGCTTTAATCATGTCCCATAGTGCTAACTAAGAGTCTTAGGTATCGAAATTTGGGCTATAGCTAGTTTAATCTGTTTAGATCATGGTTTATGATAGAAAAGGAATTTTATTAGCTAAATTTCCATAGTTTCCTCAATGTAATAAGGAAATAAGAGCTCCCAATGATTGACTAGTGGCATATATGCATTGACTGATGAAGGTGTTCTCTCCATCTTTAACTTTTGATCTAGCTTTTTACAAGTGACTTTTCTGAGAAAACTATAAGCTACTTTTTTCTTGCCATATAGAGCTGAATTAGAATCTGAATGTTAACAGCATGAAAATGTTTGAGCTGTTTATGATACTAGATTAATCAACCAGAGTTAAATCAGTAAAGTGGGCATATGGCAATTCTTGCTACATTTTGTTCCTTTTATCTTTGATGATTGGTCTGTTATCTTCATCCTTTCAGATTCTTGCTCTCATACCTGGAGCAGAACTACCTTAAAAGTTAGTATTAATTACTAAAGTGGACATTCTTTTACACTTTCTCAGGTCACTTCACAGTGACTGACATAGAATTCCATCATTTTTTTGCAAGTCTTAAGTGTCTTCACATGCTCTGCTATACAAATCCATTCTGATTAGCTAATTTGCTTTCTTTTATTTCCTAGACTTTGGAGCCCCTGGTCCATGGGAGAGGCAGGAAAGAGGATTCCCTTGATGAGACATATCTAGGAGTCTATGAGGATCTATTGTATGCTCGTAAAATAAAACCTGTCGAAGGTAACTATTATCCTCTGAATGATGCCATGGCTTTGCTAAACATTGAAGACTTTAATACTGATCAATGATGTATCTATCAATTTTCTGACCATCTTGTCTATTTCAATATGATTGAAGCTGGTTGTTCCTGTTTTCTGGTTCTTTACAAGAAAAGAAGAAATTGATATTTTAGCTCCCTTATACCTCACAAATTTTCCATTATGAAATTTTATTGATCTAAAATAAAGTCATTTAAATATGTATCAAATGATGTAAGTTGGTGATGAAGTTCATTTTGTGGTAGACTACTTCTTTGTTGTTTTGTTGAATTGGCAGATTGCCTTGAACAGCAACTTGTTGCTCAATTAAAATGTAGATATATTCTTTGGTAATTAAAGCCTGTCCTCAATGTATTTATTTATTTATTAATTTATTTTTTTGTGGTGGGGGTGGGGGGGGGGGGGTGAGGTGGGGTGGTTGTGGCTTTTTTGCAATACCGAGAGTATTCCTATTCTGATGGACTGGTGTTTGATTTTGCTATTAACAGGAGCACAGTGGACGGGTATAGTGACAACTATTGCTGTTGAAATGCTTAAAGCAGGCTTGGTTGAAGCAGTTATCTGCGTGCAGAGGTAAATGTGTAGCTTAATAGCAACTTGTGGTTTTATTTTGTTTTCATGATCACTAGTGCTCTAACTGTCCATGTTTTTCTTTGCAGTGATCCAGAGGATAGATTCAGTCCAAGGCCTGTATTAGCTAGGTATTTTCATTAAATGCTATGCTATCAATGATTTTCTTTGGAAATTTATTCTGCATTGCATATTAGGGATGGCCAAACGGGATATCCTATACAGTTCGTATTTTCAAATATCCAAATATTTTGGATCAAAATTTTGACCAGATATCAGATCAGAACTCAATTAAGTGTTCCCCTCCCCCCTAGTGTTCTTGTTACTTGCTAAATTTCTAGAGTTTAATGTTTGTCAACTTCAATGATTGCCAAAACAAAAGAAAAACTTGATTTATATGAAAAATACCAAGTGAAAGGAAATTTGTACAACAATTTAGCATATTATGGAGTATATAATAACGTCAAATAATTTAGCTGACTGTGTAATGTATGAGGTTGCCAGTGGGGCATGGTGCTTGCAATGCTAGGCTTTTGCTTTTTCTGTCTTATTTTAAAAATAATTTTCAAACCATATCCGAATGTTTTCAAATGCAATCTGAATCCAATCCAACAAATTCAGATATAAAAATTGGATCAGACATCCTAACTTTAAGATAAAATTTCTTTGCGCACCCTTGTTGCTTATATCAGCTGTTTGCTTGTATTTTCAGCTTGTCGTTTATTTTTTTCCCCCCTGTTGAACAGGACACCAGATGAAGTAATTGCAGCGAAAGGTGTTAAGCCAACTTTGTCTCCAAATCTTGACACACTTGCCCTAGTTGAGGTGCCTGATAAGTTTTTAATAGCTTTAGCAAAGTATTTCTTTTTCCTCGATTTTCCCAAGTTCTTCAAGTAAAATATGTTAAGAAGATGTTTGCTTCTAAGCAAAGGCAAAACCTACATTGTGTTGAGAAATATATTGATGTGTACTACCTTTTGATATACCTTTTAGACTTAGCTAAATACAAAAGAGAAGGACTAAACAAGGCATAAGTATGGATGGAACTATGAATACAAGTTTGTTGTTTTCTAGTGTTGTAAATATTACTCATACCTTATCACATGATTAGTAATATAATGCTCCACTATAATTTAGTATGGAATCGTGCTTATATGTCTCATATTTGTGTAATGCACTAATGACAACTGGGAAAATCACTTTGAAATAGAGGGAGTAGTGTTCTAATGTTATTCTAATATAAGTAAGAAAATGGGAATCCTTGAACGTGCAGAATTTATCTAGTAATGTTTTGGATCTGACAGGCATCTGGTGTAAAGCGTCTTCTCTTCTGTGGTGTTGGCTGTCAAGTGCAAGGTGTGTTCTCCTCCAGAACTTAGCAAGCTTTATCTTCATATGATTTCTCATGACTTAGGACTGATATGCAGGATAACTTAACTGCAGCACTGAGATCGGTGGAGAAATATTTGAATTTGGAAAAACTGTATATTCTTGGCACCAATTGCGGTGAGTGATCTTATGTCAGGACTTTTTTGGGATGGGTTTATATTTAATTTTTATTATCATTTTTATTTTTGTGTTATATGGAGAGGGTTTGAATCAGTATGCTTAGGTTTTTACTCAACCCCTGTTAGAAAATCTGTGTTCTGTTGTCATCTTCATTTGAGCAGTAGCTTTATGGTTTAGGATATACTCTCTTCCTATGTTGCTCGTACTTGGGTACCCATGTCTGACACAAGTATGTATCCAAGTGTCCGACTTGGCTTAGGGTTGAAGTGTCCTATCCACATCTATGTATTGATTATCCAACAGACCAACACAGCTACTTGATATATAATGTTTAGTCTGTGTAACATAGCTGTCATGTCTTCACGAACTTATATTTCTTGTCAAAGTCAAACCATATTCAACCTGACCAAAGAGATTCAAACCTCTTTTTTCCATTTATTAAGTATCTTTAATTCCGAATAGATATTTTGAAAACACACATTGAGGTAGATCTAACAAGATCCCATTTGATAATTTTTTTGTCTTTCTATTAACTTGAATTTAGGGTCAAAGTTCAGTCAAAGTGGGAGATAATATTAGACAAGAGTAGAACAGAAAATTTCATATTAGTCCAAACCATACCTTAAAAAATCTAGTCCAAAACACTATTCCAGGTGAAAAGAACATAGTCTTAGATGTTTTAATTGTTTTATTATCTGAGATGCTGATCAATTCATTATTGGCCCCATAATTTCAGTACATGGTGCCATTACATGAAACTTTGAGCTACACATGCTTGTTGGCTTTTCATTAGATTAGATTGATGCCATTTTTGTTCATTCTAAATTGATCAGGAGCTTCCATATCTGTGAGCTTAGGTCACATTAAGTGTCCTTATCTGAAAATTGTGGGCAGATAGGTTATCTGTGTTTTTCACCCTCTCTTGTCAACAGTGGACAATGGAACACGAGAAGGACTGGACAAGTTTTTAAGAGCTGCAAGCAGCGACCCAGACACAGTGCTTCATTATGAATTCATGCAAGATTACAAGGTTCTAATATTTTCATTAATTTATTCGCCGAATTGTTGTGAATTTCCATGTTCATGTGCTGCTGCTGACCTTAAAATGTGCTCATTCACATTTCTTGACAAAGGTTCAGTGGCTCTCGTTTTCTTGCTTGGTATTCTAACTTTGTTTAGGTTTCTTGCTGAAGATAGACTGAGCAGAAATAAGTAGCTACTAGTATCCTCCATTAATACAATCTTTCATTGATTATGCTAGGTCCATTTGAAGCATTTGGATGGCCATATTGAAGAAGTAAGATGAAATTCTTGAACCATCAGCATCATGAGATATCATCTTGGTTTATGCACTACCTATATAGTCTAATCTTCTATATCAAACAGGTCCCATACTTCTGTCTACCAGCCAATGATTTGGTTGATGTCATTGCCCCATCCTGCTATAGGTAATGGCTAAGTGGCTAGCTACATGTCTTGTTGCTGTAATGACTAATTTTATCTTGTATTCTGCTATAAACTATGCAGTGTATGCTTCCAAAATTTCTTCCATCCAATCATTCTGATATGTGACTGTCTTCCTGCAGTTGTTTTGACTACACAAATGCATTGGCGGTGAGTATCTATTTGTCAGAAAGATGTTGAGCTATAGGTCTTAACATAATCATGTTACTTTTTTGTGTGTATGAGTTATACTTGTTTAGTAATTTTTTATAGTTACTTTTTTCTTTTTAACTGGGTATGGTTATGAATATTGATTAATCAGAATACTGTTTGTTTATTTTTGAAAGATACGTTCAAGTTTGTATCTTATATTGATATTTGAAATTTTCATGTGGTATTAGGATTTGGTAGTAGGATATATGGGAGTTCCAAAGTATTCTGGCACCAGCATGACACAACATCCACAGTATGTCACTGTAAGGTGAGTGAAATTTCCTCCTCAGTTGTGTCTCAGATATCGTAGGCTACATGCTTAGAATACCCGTTGACCCCCTTCCCCCCTTACCCTATAGAAAAAAGGGTTGGAACTATCTTACATTCAGTAAGGGTTCAAGTAAACCCTGTAAAAGTTGGTTAGTAAGGAAAACTAACACAGTAAACTTTATCAAATACAAAGAAACTAAGCATGCTTAGTGCAGTGGCAGTGGGTGTGTAGACTTTAGCAGTTGAATGCTTGTCCACAATGATTTCGAAAGGAAGGAAAACATCCTTCCTAGTTATTATAAATAAAGCTTAGCATTTTCTTGCGTATGCTTTTATTTCTATTTTAAGTGTGGTAAGGAATGTTAGTATTTTCCAATATATCCGTCCCACATTTTAAGGATCATATAATTTCTCCTATATACCTCACCATTCACCACACTCCCCACCCCCCTTTCTTAATTGTCTTTTCAGTTCATGCATGCTTACAAGGCATGTTTTCTTCTGTAACTGTGGTTTGTGATAAATAGTCTCTGATATAAAAGCAACAAAATTAGATCTTTTTTTCTTATAAATGTTGTCATTTATTACAGGAATGAACGTGGTAGAGAGATGTTGAGCCTCATTGAAAACCTCATAGAAATTACTCCCACTATGAGCAGTGTACGTTCCAAACTATCTTCAAGCTGTTTTAGAGCGTTTTTTGTTTTCGTAAATTTCTCAACAACTGGGTTTTTGTTCTAATTCTGGTGTTCAGGGAAATAGGCGTCCATTTGTAGTGGAGACTGTTAAAGCAGATGATGATGCTAAATTTGGTATGTATTATATGGTGTTGAGCTATGAGAGCCACAATCATTGTCTTTTACTTCACAAGCTAAGGGAAAGGAGTGTTAGTGTTATTCTATATAATTGCTGAAACGTAACGTAAAATTATTGGCCATTTTGCTGAAACAAAAATCTATTGCACTTTCAGAATTTTGATGAATCTAGAAAAAAAGAAAAGGATGAAAGACCTTTTTTTATTTTTTATTTATTTTTTTTATTATTATTATTTTTATATCCTTTGGAGAATAGTGGTGTTTCTGGGGATCCAATGGCTTAGAGGGAATATAGGCTTTTTGATTTATAAGTTCTTACAGCTTAATGCATATCCTTCTCCAGTAGCAGAATTTGAAGTTGATTGACTCTAGCTAATTTTCCTCCTTTTTTGCAGGGATGGGGCCTTCTCAGCCTGCTCCAAAATTTATTGGAAATCTGATTTCAGCTGTCCTTAACTTTGTAAGTATCCTTCATTACACCTTTAGGGTTACAGGTACTAGCAATGGCCATTTTTCACTTATTTCTTTATCCAGATTGGGCCAAAAGGTTTGGAGTTTGCCCGTTACTCACTTGATTATCATACCATTCGGAACTACCTGCATGTAAATCGTGCCTGGGGGAAGGAGAGGTGAGTCCGTGAGTATTTAATATATTGTCCTAATCCTTAAAGGGATTATTGTACACATGGTACTAAAAATATGCATTGAAACCAGGGCCACTAAGCATGTACCTTCATACGCAAGGAAACTTGTTGAGATGTACAATAACACTGGTGAAATTGACAAGATGATTTCCAGATCAAGGAGTGGATAATATATTATTAAACAGAACAATTCTGCTTATCCAGAGGTTTAGCATGTGAGTTCATTAATCTAGGTCAGTTAATCCAATGTGTAGCATGAAACATTCTTCTGGAAAAGTATTTTTTTCCGTTTTGGCCTAGTTATGCAGCTGTACTACTTTTTTTTATTGGTTAGTTTTACTTGTACATAGAAAGGCTTATCTTCTAAAAGCACATTATGCTATCACAATTTCTTTTCCCAAATTCTGTCATGAATTCATGATTAGTGTCCATGTCCTGTTTGAACCTGTTTTTCTGTGTATTCTTTATTATGATCCATAATTTAAAGTCCTCTGAATCTGCAATTGAAAATACTCACTGTAAATGTTCTCCGCATATAAATTCTAATTTTTTGTACTGAATGCTAAGACACAAGTGTGGATGTAATTGACAGTTTTATGTAATCATATGCTGGCAGCGATTGTTTAGTTGTGTTAAGGCCTATGTGCCTGCCATTAATGTGTTATATTATTAATGGTGAACTTGTGAAAATAACTAAAGAAAGAAACCTTTCAGTATGAAGGAAATACCATCTAGGTGAAACACTTTAATTTCCCATTGTGGCATAATTATTTGAGCATGCAGATTGGAAACTGGCGTTTCAAAAGCTATTTACAAGGGATTTTTGATGTTATTTAAGATACTGTTGAAATTCTGCTTAATTTGCTGATAAATAACTATTTAATAGAAGTACTCTTACCAATACTCACCATCCTTCTTTTCACCAATAACAAGATTGTCCTTTGACTGTTAGAATGCTAGGTCTAGATCCGGGCATCCCCTGCTGACAAAAACATGGGAATAAGAGTTCGAGCCTTATATTCCTATTGATTAGTCTCATCTTAGCCAAATGAGCATTGTCTTATTGACAATACTTATTCCATATCCAACCCCAAATTCTTCAAAATAGACCCTTTTTGCTAGTTCAGTTCTCTACGTGCCTGTCTCTATAATCAGAAGAGATTTCAAATTAGCTGGCTTCAAGTTTATCTCTAATATTTTTGAAGAATCGGAACTGAGTTCAGTTGGGGTGAGGTCGAGGAGATGGGGTGTAAAATATGGTTGGTCCACCTCTTAGATGAATGGTTGGGAATGCATCAAGGGGAAAAAATGGGAGGTTGAGATTTTGTTGTTTTGCTAGCTTAGGTATCAAAATCTGAATTAGGAAATGGAGGAAAAGAATTGAAGAATTTCTAATACACTGTTGAGAGGGAATGTTAATATCATGTGCCAATAAAAATACCCTGCTTCAGCATGAAATTTGATAGATTTTAGAGGATTGCTTTTTAAGGTATCAGAGTTTGTAGAACTGTATGTCTGTATGGCATTTTTAGTTGTTCTTAATCAGTGATATGTAGTTTGGATGTACAAATTGATATTTCAGACAAATACAATTTGTATTACAGTAATTCTTTCTCTATTTTGTTTTAATTGCAATGTTGGAGATTTCACGCTTGTCAATGCACATTTTATAACATAATTACCTTAAGTTATATCGTGTAAAAATTAGAATAAGTTGATGTTATGAAAGCATATTTTGGGACAACTCTAACAAGATCCTACATGACTATTATTTTAATGTATAAATCACAAAAGACTATCAAACGAGTGTGTAAAAAGTGTAAATCCAAATGTTGTGATTTAAAATAAAAAAACGTAGGAAGTATAAAAATTTGAAAACTACCTTAGTGTCAAAAATCTCAAAAACTATATAAATTGTTGTTATCGGCCTTGCTCCAACATCTTTTCAGCAGCAGAAGTTGAACCGAATGCCTATGTACCTTGGACCTTAACCAAAAAGACTAGGTAGAGACTTCATTATTGAGCAAAAATAGGTGGTACTGTTGCCAACTTCTGATGTAGAAGTTTGAAGTATTCAGCATTTGTATATGTCTGGTTTTGGTAGGATTTGGTCCTTATGCAATCCATTGAACTTATCATTGCTCAAATGTTGTCAATCTGTCTTGTGCATGCTATGACATTTGGATAGACTTGCTTAGCTAGTAGACTGTCTTATGTTGTATTGAAGACTTAGGTAAAAAAATATTTCTAGCCACTCTCTCCTCCAAAGTCCAGGCCTTCCTCAACAGGAGGCGATTTGTTTGTTGAATCAATCAATAAGCTTATTGATTATGTAATGTTATTAGCTTATCTAGCCAGCTTTCCTAGCCATATATTCTCGTTCACAACAATATCTTGAATGTAGAATCATATTATTTCGTAAGAATTATTAAACCTGGTCGAGAAAGAGTTGGTTAAGAAGAATTGATTGTCAAAGATTGCCTTTTGTCCTTTCCTGAGATATACATATAACCTGCAGCTGAAAGCACTAGATGACATTGAGAGATAGAAGGTTCAAAGTTTATAATTCAGCATTTATTTTTATGACAAAGTTTTTAATGTGTCGTGGTAAAAGGATTGTGAAGGGAGACATGGAGTGAACTCTTCTGCAGATTTGAGTCAAACAGCATGGGTCTCATGTGGGTTCTTTTATTTCTACACTGCCCTTTTTTAAAATTAATTTATTCATTTTTATTTTCTGTCTTCTGTTGTTTCTTCTTCTTCTTTGTTTACCATTTTTTGTAATCATTTAAAGTAAAGTCTGTACAATAAAGAAGAATAATTTTGATTGTATTATATTTGTTGGCTGACGGTTAAACTGATTATAGGAGTATTTATTGTATACTGTTATTGGCGTTTTCTGGGAATATGGGACAAAACATGGAATTTTCTGTTTTCAGTAGTGAGAAATTGTGGATGAGGAGTGACGTCGGTGAAAGGATCTTAGTGGCTGATGTATTTACACCATTCATTGGAGAGTTGAGAAGCTTCTGTTGGTCTGTTTGACTGATAAACTGTGAGCTTTAGGTTAGAAAACCAGAGTATGAAGTCGGTGCTTGTGTTATCTATATTCGGCTACTTGTTTTAGACATGAGTGAGTATTCAAGTGTTAGACTAGGCTATTTTATGATGAATTTTCATATTTTGGGTCTATATTGAATTGTCAATTATCCATTCCCATGACGTACTATCAAAGATCTGCTACAAATAATTGAGGTGAAATGAAGGATTTAACGCTGGACCATACTCAAATTTATTGGTGTTGGGCAACTTGATTGGTAAAAATCGTTTGGGGTTGCTATAATGTTTTTTTTTTTGAAAATCTTTGTACATTTATCAATTTACCATGGAGCTTCCTAAGTAAAATATTCATATTTCTCTGGTGTTAACTGATCAAGGTAGTCCTCAGGAGTTATCGACGATAAATGGCTCTGTTTGCTGTTATTGTGGAGTCTATGAGAAATGATTAATCTAAATATGCTATCGTAATTTAATTAGTCAGTTTCTAGAATAGTTTAAAAGTGCATCCGATAAGCGCTCCTACAACTGAAGTCATATATAACTTCTGGATTGAGAGATTTTGCTGTGAGCTTGACTGCGAGCATGCAAAGGGGATAGTTTTCATTCTTTAGTTGACAACTACTTTGGGATGGGGGTGGAATCCGAGTACATCAGTTTTAATCCAATAGGAATTCTTACAACTGAAATGATTTAACACCCAGAATGATATATATGGCCTTTAGAAATTTATACCCCATACCTTGAGTTTAAATTCTATCTGCATTTATTTACCTGTGTACTGACTTCCTCATAAACACGAAATTGATGATTTTTCTTGTTTCGGTCGACTATAGGGAGGTGAAAAACATTCTATTTTTAGAGACAGGTGGGGAATGGAATGCATAAAATGTAATAGCAGGTGGGAACTCTGAATCAGCTGCATCACTTTCTGACTGGGAAATTTTCTGCACTTGGGACTGTCCATAGATGAATGTCAAAAAATTTTGGTGGGCTCTGTAGCATGTGACATGCAACATCAGAGACATTACTACCCTAGTGTTTGCTTGGTTTCCACCTTAAGATCACTATCAAGCTTGAACTGACAGTCTTTCTCAGGCACAGAATAACCATGGGTCTTACTGAACGGAATGGGCCAGCCCCTCTTCTGTTCAGGTATTGCCCATCTTTAGTTGCATTCATGTCCAAGCTGTTCATATCTATCTTTGAGGCTTCTACCCACTGGTACACTGTAAACTTTTAGTGTTTTTATTCTTTTTCGTCTGGTTAAGAAGATAAGTTGCTCGATGATAGTAATGTCTAGTTTGGAGCTTAGTTAAGTGATATGCTGCCATTCAGGTCATTTTCAGGTCGGTTGGAGTCAAGATCTAGGCTGGTATGATAATCAGTTCATCACTAATCAGTGTTGGTAACATGAGTTTTCAATTTGAGTCATAATCGTTGTTACATGTAATCTTGGTTACAATTTAGTTTAACTTTTATAATCGAGTTCGCCAGTTCGGTCAATCATGTCAAGTCAGTTCTATTAGTCTGAATGTCTGATACTATCAAATCTGGTCATCAAGAATCTGATAGAAATGAAGTTCTCCAATAAATATATTATGTATAAGAGGCAATTATAAATTTGATTATAATTTTTCATTGTTACACCAAGGTATTTCACACAGTAAAGAGAAAAATAAATAAAAAAAAAAAAGTAAAAAGCCTCATCTTCCTCTATACAAAAAGGTGCCCCTAATATTTAGAGACTGGGTTCTTTTAAGGAAGAGGGCTGCTTTGTGAGCTTTGTGTTCCTAAATAAAATGTCTATGCAACCTGATTTGTGTAGTTTTATCAGAACTGAACAACTGCCTAAATCAGACAAAAATCCACAAAAAAGAAGTAAAAAAAGAATTTGAAGTTATCTGAACAATGTTTAGTTTCGCAAGTTTTAGTTGTATTTGCTGCTGTTATCTTAAAACTGCGAAATACACCGCCTATGACAAGCAGCAGGAGGCTTCTTTTGCTTGGTTTCTTCTTTCCAGATTTTTCCAATGTCTTCTGCTACTCTGATGGCATCTTCTGATGCACCGGATAATCCTCGTTTTGTGAACCCGGCTGCGTATAATCCGGCATTTCCTTTCCAGCCATTGGGGAATGGCGCTTTCGGGAATCCATTTTTGGTAAAGAAATCACTTTCCTAAAGAAGCAAGAATGAAAAAAGAAATCAGTTGACAATTCTTCAGAAAAATGCTGTAATAACTTCTGTAAAGTCAAACCAGACAAGACTCCAACATCCTACGGTTGGGGTGCTTAAGTTACATGGCTAAGGTCATTATTTAAATGTTTGACAAACCCACCATTAATTTTATTCCCTTGATTTTAAGATCCAAACTGGCAGTCATTTTTATATCATTTTAATTTTTTTCCTTGAAATTCAGATCTACTAGTTAAAAAATAAGAATTTATTTTTGTGAAAGACAAAATGTAAGTAAAAAGGAAGAAAAATATAGCAGCCTCTGTTTTTATCCTATGATAACTAACAGTTTAAAGAAAGAAAAAAAAATCCAAGAAAATCTCAGTTACCAGACATGAAAAAATCTTATAAAAAAATGACTTGAATGAATTTTGATCCTCACCTTCAGCCATAGGGGAACGTTGCTGCGGTACCCAGTAGCGAGGATAACGGAATCGACCTCACGAATCTCTCCATCGACAAAGGCGACTTTACCTCTGGCAAATCTCTTGATACCAGGAACAACCTTAATCTGTCCTGATCTGATTTTACCAAATGTACCAAGGTCCAACACTGGGGTCTTTCCTTCTGTATTCTTCAGCTCCATTGGACCAACTTCCGGCCTTTTTAGACCGTATTTGTCTGTGTTTCCGAGCAATAAACTTGCTAGAAACAGCAGTATCTTATCAACTGTACGCAGTGAGAACCACCTCAATAGTGTCATTGCCAACTCGAATGTCGATTTCCCCAGTACGTCTTTAGGCAGTACATGAACCTGTTGAAATTCAAATAAATTTTACTTGGTCAGTTTAAGCCTAACACATATTTTTCTTAAGAATTCAAAGTTTTTTTCAGTTTATGTTCTTACCGAGCTACGAACACAAAGTAAGGGTTGAACATCATGGTTACAAAGATCAAGAGAAACTTCCATCCCAGAATTCCCACACCCTACAACCATAACTTTTTTGCCGCGGTATTGCTCACCAGATTTGTACTCACATGCATGGATAATATCACCACCAAATTCATGGAACCCAAAAAACTTGGGCACCACCTTTTCAGCATTTTCGCCGGTGGCAACCACAATCCACCGGCATATATACTCAACCTCGCGCTTGTTGGTGCAGTTATCAGCACCCAAAGCGGTCTTAATCCTCCAAAGACCACATGTTTCATCATACTCAGCAGACTGCACTGACTCATTGAACTGAGGTTGTATGTCGAATTTCTTAGCGTAAGACTCAAGGTAGTTTATGAACTGGTCTTTTGAAGGGTATTCAGGGTAGTCATCAGGGAAAGGGAAATTAGGAAGCTGACAGAATTGCTTAGGAAGGTGAAGCTTAAGGCGGTTATAGGTACGTATTTGCCATAGCGAGGCAATGCAGTTGGCTCGCTCAAGCACGATAAAGGGGACACCTTGTTCCTTAAGCCCTGCAGCCACTGCTAACCCTGAAGGGCCAGCACCAACTACCACCGGTCCATTCACCCACACACATCGCTTAGCGAAGAATTCTTCGTGGTTGGCCGAGGTGGTTTTGGCTATGAAAGCGGCATTGCTTACCGGATTCATAATGGTAATATAATTAGTAGAGTTGAAGTATTAGTTAGGTTGTTTGTATATCAAAGGTGTTCAAAGGACTAAAGGAGATGTATTAGCAATAATAAGAGGAGAGAGAAATCACGAACGAGTTTTTAGAGAGAGAAAGAGAGAGAGAGAGAGGGAGAGAGATGGTTAATTGCTTGGTTGGAGAAATGGGTGTAGTGAGAATGGGGGAGGTGGTAAGAGGGGTTTAAATAAGGGGAAGATTGCCCTTAAGAGATGCATGAGACTAACATGTGAATTAACTTCTCATAGAAGAGCTCAAAGAATTTTATTAAACATTTAATAATTCAAAAAATATTCTTGTACTCATAATATTATACCATAATATTATACAATGTATATATAGAAATTCTTCTATTCAAGTTGTTTAGATGTATGATTGTCATATACAAATAAGTATTGTATCTGAATTTTATTTCATATATTTATATATAATTAACATTATATACTTGTTGTTGCATTATGATTTTATGGCACCTGCCATTAGAAGGTGCTTTTAATCATTCTTTGATTCATTTTAATCATTTGATTATCATTGCCACTGGCTCCACCAAATCCTGCATTTTCTCTTTTTAAAGAAATTTTAATAAAGTTTTCAACTTTTAAAATGTCTTCTCAAAGGTCTCGTTGTTACTTTTGTGAAGATTTTTGAAAGATGATTAGTAGAAATAGGCAAATAGCAACTCGACTAATTTGGGAAAATTTTATGCGTTGTAGTTAACAAGATTGTGTATTTACCTGGTTTATTGAGTTAAAATGAACTTTTAAGTTTGAAGCCTGAGCTTAATTGCAAGCCGAGCAACCACTAGCTTATATGTTCAACTCAACTTATGAAAATGAACTTTAAATTTGAGCTCGATAACAAGTGTTGCAAGCCGAAAAAATAACCATTAGCCTGTGTTGAACTCATCAACTAATTAACATCCTTAATTGTGATCTCCACAAAGCTGATATCTTACCTAGATGTTTTGAGTTTTTTTCATAAAAAACTTTTGAAATTAAGGTTGCATCATAAATCAAAGTGTCTTATGTTGAAGAACAAAATGTCTTATGTAAATTCTTCACACTAGTATGTAGATGTTAGATTTTAATTGAAACAAATTAGGTAAGATGAATGAACCTTCTAAACCCGACTCCTAACTAGACTATCTATACGACTATAATGATTGTGTTACTATAAGCAAAGAGATTTAGGTCGCATATCTCCTCATCTTAGATCCCTGTGGTCTACATATCAAATCTTATGAGAATCATTTGATAGATTTCTCTTATTCCTTCAATTGGGTCTCCATATAAAAAATACATAAATAACACCGCTTTTGAAATTCTTATTAACATGAAGTAAGCTTATGTGGCACTCCTATTTGAAAGAAGATTACACAACAATTTCTCTTTATGCCAAGAATTAAATCATCCTTGATGAACTAAAACATAGTATATTATATTAGTAGACTTGTGCATCCAAGTTTAGAAACTACTAAATAATTTAATGTTGCTTTGCTTGGATATTACGTGAATAAGACTTTACATTATCTCCTGTAAATTGTTAATTTAGAGATTCTAGTTATGCTAATTAAGGTTTGTTGTTACATCCTAGTAGTGATAATGGTCGCATATAGAGGAATTAGTTTGCTAAGTCGAAGGCAAAGACTGAAATTTTAGTGGTTTTTAATTGAGATCTAAGATGGACAACCGTATTACAGATGAACATGTTAAGCTACAATTAATGTTCATGTCTCTTTTACATCCCTCTTTTTATCTTTATTTTATATATCTTTCTTTTGGAAGATCTATAACTTAGTATATAGTACTAGTATATGTATAGCTAGCTATGTTTCTTCATCATCTTTGTTTGGGAAATCTACTCCGAGTTCGAATAACGTAGTTGATAAATTCTTTAATTCAACTTTTAAGCGAAATAAATGTAATATTTTAAAATACGACCATATATAATAATAGCAGAAAATACAAGTTTATCTACGAGATAAACATTTTTTGTTTATCACATAATATTTTTGTAAATAATTAACTTTTTCATTAAATATGGTCCCATAGTTATTGATTACTTGATAAAGTAGTTAATTTATTTAAATAAACTTGGGCTTCCTCCATATATATTGTTAGACTATTTGCGTGTAATAAATTTTTTTTGGTTATGATCTCATTCTCTGTTCTTTTTCCAAGAAATAAGATATAAAAAAAGAGAGAATTTGTAGAGAATGGTTTATTTTAATAAAAAGAGAAAATTTGTTGAGAATAGGTTTATTTTAATAAACTTGGGCTTCCTCCATATATACTTTTTTTGATAGAAAAGAAAATTTTATTTTGACAAGCGAGTATTATTCCATATAAAGTATACTCATATGATAAGGTTATGGAAGTTAAAAGAAATAATTTTCAATTTAATTCAATAAAGAGAAGTAGAAATAGAAATTCAACAAATATTATATATTGATTTTTACCAAGTCATTTTTTTGTAAATAGAGTAAATTTATATATGTACTAGTTTGGTGTCTCATGCGATGCCCAGGTTGTTTATTGAATTCTAAAATAAACTTTTTATTTATGTACCAAAGTTTTAAAATATACCATTGATATAATACAAAGACAAACATTTAAGAAAAAATCGGATGTACAATAAAATATTGTAAATCTACTATAAAGTTACCTTAAAATGATCAAAAGTTACCCTATAATGAATGAAAGTTACTTAGTATATATAAGATACCCTGATATAAATAAAAGTTAATTATGCTTTAATGATAAAAGTTACCCAAAAAGTCTAAAAGTTACCCTAAACTCAATATAAGTTACCTCGATGTATAGTAATTACTGTATATCAGATGCATCAAAATTTTTTGTGATACTAATGTAATACTCCCTCCGTTTTTAAATATTTGCTTCACTTTTAATTTTAGGCCGTTTTTAAATACTTGCTCCATTTCCTTACTCTCTCCGTTTTTAAATACTTGCTCCATTTCTCCATGTGCGGAGTTTCAGGAATAATAGGAGAAAGTAATAAAATATAGAGGTAGTGGGGTAGGGGGAAGAATAAAAAATTGTAAAAAGCAAAAGTAGTTGAGAGAATCGGAGGAGAGAGAATATAAAATTAATAAAATATGATTTATATTGGGTCCACTAGGTAAGAAAAATGAATTAAATATTGTGAAAGATTTCCAAATAAGGAAATGGAGCAAGTATTTAAAACCGGCCGAAAAAGGAAAGTGGAGCAAATATTTAAAAACGGGGGAGTATTTGGAAAGCTTTTACGATATTTAATTCATTTCTTTCAACTAGTAGATCCAACATAAATCATATTTTATTGATTTCATATTCTCTCTTCTCTGATTCTCTCAACTATTGTTTTTTACAGTTTTTTTTATTCTTTAACCTACCCCACTACCTCCCTATTTTATTACTTTCTCCAATTTCTCCTAAAACTCTGTACATGGAGAAAGGGAGCAAGTATTTAAAAATGGAGGGAGTATTACTGTACATTGGATGTGTACAAAAAATTTTGTAATACAAATTATTTAGGAATTAAAGGTTGTTACTCAAAAAATATGTATTTACATAGTATACTCCATAAAATGTACTCCCCCATAACGTTTATAGGTAAAACCAGTATTGATATTTTCAATAATATCTATACTTTTGGTCTTAGACATGCCAAATTTAACATCTTATGTAAATCAATACAATAGCTACAATAGTTCAGTTGGAAAATTTATATTCATATAATTTTTTCTAGGATATCCAGAAAATACTTGTTAGTACTTGAAATTTCATGCACTTAACATGTGTGATGGAAATTTCTCTATTAATCTCTTTCTCTCTCACTCGCGATCTCTTCGAAATTTATGTTATGTAATTCGTCTTACTAAATACTAACTACAATTAATTCATTCGTTATTCTTATTATTCATTCTCTACTATAAAATCTACCTTAACTAATTATATCCCTCAATATACGTGTTCAAACATAATTAAAAGAGAACAGAAGACAATTATGTCACAAAATTAAAAAAAAACCCTACCCTCCTCTCTCTCTTCTCTCTCCTAAACTCTAGCCTCCATTGTCAATTTTAAAGGGGTTTACATCGGATTTCCCCGGTAGAAAGCCCCAATCTTTATTTTCTTTTAAGCCTTTTGTTTCTTAGGTAACAAAAATGTGTCCCGCAAAAGGAAGGGTTTATCTCCTTTGAAAAACAAGGTTTTTTCGATCACCTTCGAAAGACAAGGTTTTTCGGACTTCTTCGAAAGACAAGGTTTTATTTGTGTTTAATTTGGTCTCCGGGTGTGCGAGACTATGATTGATTATGGCTTCGATTCGGGTTACGGAATCAGCACAAGAATTTAATTTCTCAAAAAATTGCGAAGTGACAACGGATCCACTCAAAAAGTTGTATGAGACAACGAATCGAGAATGTGCCGAATAGTTATATTTATGTATTTGGATTCTTAGCCTTTCCCGATTAATTCTTGTTTGATTTTGTTAAATTCGTTTTCATTATCGTTAATTGTCAATTATAGATATCGTATACCTTTAAGTAATGAAATTTAGTATCCTCTAAAACTCCTTTGAAAAAAAAAAAGAGAGAGAGAGAGAACATAAGACGTATATATAATGACTTAACGAGCTGAGAGCAAGACTAGTGTAAATGTTGCTAATTATGCGGAGTAACTCTCTAGAAATTACTTGAACTCTAAGAAAAGAAAAAAAGCTAAAGGGAATGTTACTAATATATGCTTATTACCGATGAATGCATGGTTTTTGTGCTAATAACAATTCATTTTGGTTTCGTTCCATGCTAGGCGGCTGCTCATCCCAATGGTTGCAAATTTTCATATAGCCGCTTTATTTGGCTGTTAAAGACTTTTCTACGAGTATCTCTTTTTTCATAATTTGGTATGGATATCTACGCCTACTAGGCTACTAGTCTATTACCATCTAAATGTCAGTGATTTGAACTTATAATCTTCTTACGGAGTATTATATTGACTTTAAAATCATGTTAAATGATTAATTTAATAAAAGGATAATTCTATATGTAGCCTATAAACTTTAAATATTAACTTAAAGAATAAAATATATAATTAGTTTTTATACTATGTTAGTGAGATTCAAGATATGAATTCCATGTATATTAAAAAGATTGCTCTGTTTCTCTCAATCCAATTCATTATAAGTTATACCTAGTGGGTTGGTTGGTTTTTTTTTTTTTTTTTTTTTTTTTTTTTTTTTTTTTTTTTTTTGGGTAAGATGAAGGGTCGTATCGAGTCAAAACCCCTCATGGGTCAACTTGGCCCG